CACACAAACGCTCTCATCTAAATCGAACGACTGGGAGCTGGATGTGAGAAGTTGCCATAATTGCTGTCTCTAATTAGTTCTCGCACAGGCTGCTGTGCAGTGAAGAATGAACGGTACCCCCAGAGGGGTCGGTCTTTTGCCCTCAGCTGCTGAGAGGTGATTTCTGGGCCCTTGGACTGCCATGGCTGATAAGGAATGTTCTGCCCAAGGGGCGGTGGTCACTGAACAGTCTAATAATGTGACTTTTGGGGGGGTTTGGACCACACGATATCAGTTCTACCTCTATAAGGACTGGAGATTAAAGGTCAGCCATGGGAATGATATGCTACTGAGCCCCAGTAACGTCTGGACCCCAAGGGCCTGGGGACCCGGGCTGGCAGTACTCTGTCTTGTCACGCGCAGATCCTGGAAGGGTAATGCTGCCCTGGCTCTACAGGGGGAGGTCGACCAGAATTCCGCATCGGGGCCCCTCCTGGCCTCTGCCCTCTAAGTCTCTTCCCATGATGGATCTTAGTCTGCTTCCCTTCTCTGGGAGACACCATATCTGTGAGTGTCACAGTCTCCAGTGAGTTCTGTGAGTGCATCTAGTGAGTTATCAAGCCCAAGGGTGGTTCCGGGAACCCCCTGAACTTGCAGGTATAAAGTTAACATCTTCCCACTTGAAAAGCTCTCCTTCCTCTTTCCTTCTGCCCCTCCTTCCCTACCTTTGTTCCTTCCTTTTTCAATCTGAGAAAAGGGTTCTAAAAAAATTTCAAGTAGGAAAATAATGTATTGCCTAAATCTAAAGTTAGCTTTTCTGTTAACTTCCTATGGAAGTTCATTCCTGAGCCATGCACCACGGAGGACTAGGTATAAAATGACAGATTCAAATAAACCAAGGAAGACGACTTTTGATACCTTAACAAGAGCACTCTTACTGCCCAAGTCCTATAGAAGAAACTCACGTGTATAAATGATTCTAGCACATACAGCTCAATATCTAAAGATTTCACATATAGAAATGTCCTCTTATTTATCTTGATTAAATTAACTCAGCACCTAGCTTCTCAATCTTATTTATACTGAATATCCAAGAATGTCTTACCAAAGCCATGATGTCTGATATGACGAGAACCATGAGAAAAAGACTGGAAAAAGGTAAACAAAAATTACATATGTAATACAACAGGCATATTTTAAAACCACATTAAAATCAAAATGAGCCCTGGCTGGGCAGCTCAGTTGGTTAGGGCACGGTCCCAATACACCAAGGTTGTGGGCTCAACCTCCAGTCAGCGCACATACAAGAAGCAAACAGTGAGTATATAAATAAGTGGAACAGCAAATCGATTTCTCTCTCTTTCTCTCTCTCTCTGTCTCTCTCTCTCTCCTGGAGGCTAAGTCTAAGGTCAAGGCATTGGCATGTACACACACACACACACACACACACACATAAGTACATGTATACATACACAGACACATTTTGATGAGCCTTCTACTCCTCATTCCATATGTCCCCAGCTCTGTTCATTTAAACATTAATTAAAATCTCTTCTAAAAATGCAACCATTAATAAGTGCGAAAGCACCATTAGTTACCAGATTTTTATTGCATCTAGGTATCTTTTATGTGATACTGACAATGTACAAATGCTTTCAATGTTAAATTTATGTAAATATCCTGAACAATACACAAAATTAAACTAAAAGCCAGATTTCTACTATTTTTAAACTGGGAAAAAATCTGTTCCTTATTATGGCACATGCATAATAACATGCTAAACCCAGTTCAAGCTTAAACTCATCAAGAACATGCAAATTTATGATAATATTAGTTACTTTCGGCATTGAATATGCCATTTTGATTCAATTATAACTGAACTTCTAAGAAATTTCATATTTTTCTCAAGTATCTTTCAGAGAGGCTGGTAAGTCCAGTGCTGATGAGGCAGTTTTTTCAGCAGAGGCAACTCTACTAAAAAAAAACAGTAGAGTTGACAGCTTCTCTTCGAGAGGCGCCACTGATTCGGACTGCTCCAGAAATTCCCCCGAACCCAGAAAAAATACTTTCCATTCCATTTGTCAAATGTGTAGAAATCACGACTGGGAAACTACATATATTATTGACATTTAGAATAGCTGATTTTAAACATGCAAAACGAAATAATCTTAACACATTCATCTGATGCATGTTTAGGAAATAAGCCCCCCCGCAACAGTGGGGACGACAGCGCCCGTTTGCTGTGCAGGTGCCAAGGTATCTGCACACGGGAGCTGTTCACTGCGACACTGAATGTCTGTGTTCCACTGTTCTGTAAGGAGCTCGTCACTAGCCTGAATGGCAGTCTGATGACATGTCGAGGTTGGGAAAGCACATTTGTCTCCTAGAGGCCCCGACCGAGTGACTTCCTCCAGTGAAACTGCACCCCGATCAAAGGGTGAAGTATTTTTTCCTAATTTTTATTAACAAACAATCTGTGTAACAGTGCCTTAACGGCAATCACACGAAATGCCCTCAAATGCTTACTCTCATTTCCAAAAAGTGGCCACCCCGATGGTTCTCCCACACTCCTCGTACCTTTTCGACGATAACTGGGTGGTCAGCTGAACAGCTTCCAACGCGCACATCACAAAAACAAAGGGGATTAAAATCTGTCCAAAAGAACAACAAATGATGCCGCGCTGAAGCACTTGAAAAGCCTTTTGAAGTATCATTTCTGTCTGTAGAAATGTGTCAGTTCCTCAAATGAACCTTCCCTCTGCCAGGGAAGAGTAAGTGCTGGAACACAGCCACGACGCCTGTGACGGGTGGAACGGCGCAGCTGCCTCTGGAACCCACAGCATCAGAGCACAGGCAGCATGAGCAGTAAGGCGCATCGACGCCCATTCCAAGTGACACCTATTACAAACCTTTGTCCCTCTAACTCACACTGCTGGCCACGCTCAAATGAGTCCAAGAGGGTGTGAAAGGCACAGAATGCCCAAATCAAATAAATTATGGAGCCTGGCAATTTGATTCACAGAGCCCTGAACCCATCTGGTTATTTGATACTATAACCCCATAAACATGATTTAGCTGCTTTACCATTGCTTTTGGTAGACTTATGCTAATACTAATTTGTTTATAAAATTCATACTCATTGTAAAAATAATTTGTAAAAAAACCCACAAAAAATAAAATAAAATTTATAGTGGTTGAAAATCCATAATCCAGAGCTAACACTGACAATATTTTGCAATACTGCTTTCCAATGACCAATTTAAAAATATATATATATATATATGCTTGAAATTTTTAAAAAGAGGAGAGTGAGAAGACACAGAAGAGAAATGTTCAAGACTGCACAAGGTGCTGGCCCGCGTGGCTCAGTGGGTTGGAGCATCCTCCCGCAAACTGAAAGGCTGCCGGTTCAATTCTTGTTCGCGGCGCAGGCCTGGGGTGCGGGCCGGGCCCCTGGTCTGGAACGTGCGAGAGGCAACTGACCGATGTTTCTCTCCCTGTGTCTCCCTTCCTTCCCCTCTCTCTAAAAATAACTAAGTAAGAATTTTTAAAAAGACCGTGTAAGATTCATCTTCAAGTGAAGGCTACACGACCAGAATCAAGTTCAGGGGGACCCCCACTTCCAGCCACATCAGGCAAAGAAGCATCAAGTATATTGTCAGGAAAGCTCACTGAATTAGGAGAGAGGTTAAAGATCTAGCATTCTAATCAAAACCTTTGTTTTTCTTCCTTTTTTTCTTGTTTTTCATTAAAGACCCACAGTCTTTAATAGACTGAGAAAAAAACTACCACTACAAAAAATGTAAATTGAGATTAAGGAAGCAACACATGTTCTACAATGACCCATTAGCGAATGTAACATGAGATAATAAACATCTTTTTAACATTTCTTAAAATTACATTTATGTCAGTGCAGTAACAAAAAAAGTGGCATGAATCCTATGAAGAGATACATACTTTGAACATCACTTCTGTGATTGGAAGGAAATGCAATCAGTTTTCCGGCAGATACTAGTTACTTTATTCAACAAATACATTCCGCTGGCCCTCTGTACCCCATTTTCAACCAACCCTGGGCTGAAACTACTCTGGGAAAAAAGTTCTGTTATTGCTGATGTGTGCTATGCAGTTGGGCCTACAATGGTGACATCTGTGCAGAAAATGTAGACTTTTTTCTTGTCGTCATTGCCTAAAGAAAACATTAGAACAACATATTGCATAGCATTTCCACTGTATTAGGTGCTATAAATAATCGAGAGATAAATTAATCAAGACGCTGTGTGTGGGCTATACGCAAATATCACACCACGGTCCACACTGCACAAGGGCCGTGGACTTTGGTATCCGCGGTGGGAGGCGGGGGTGTCCTGGAGCCACTCCCCCTCGGATTCCAAGGCAGGACTGAACTGACTACGTAAAATGTGCCAGGCGCTGTGGTGGAGGGGCTAAGACAAGCGTAATGACCCTTGAGAAGAAGGGAAAGCACATGAATTAAATTCCACCGGAGAGTATGAACCACTGATAAGCCGATCATTGGTCCCTGTACTGGTACCCTTAGCACCTAGCTGGTAACTGGCATGTCACTGAATGTAGGCGGTTGACATACTTATTGAATGAATGAGTCAATTCTAGGTACACGGATTATGACAAGAGATGACAGCATGTGCACAGTCTCGTGGCTGGGAACGTGGGTTGGGGGACCTTCACGCAGTTCTGATCGGTACTGCACGCCCCCACAGGCTTCGATCCCCTCTGACAGCACTTCCTGGGGCTGACACAGAACCCCTGCTCTTCTGAAGTCAGTGAGCTTACGAGTAAAGCAAACAGTTTATATTATAGAATAAAGGCTAGACGGTCCCACCTCCCATTCCGCAGTGTCTGAGAAGCTATCTTCTTTCCATGCTATTTGACTTTGTCACCAAGACTATATATAATCTTAATGTCACATAATGTTACATAATCTTAATGCTACAGCGAGTTCATCACATTACCCAGCATCTTAAGAAAATAAGGAAACTGACCTTCCACAACATCAGAGCTCCCATAATGAAAGGATTGAACACGGTCAGAAAACAGTAGACAGAGGCAAGATCAAAGCTAAGGAAGCAACATAAAGAAAAAATTTTAGAATTCACACTAACTTAAAGAGAATGTCTCATAAAAGGGATGTTTACATGAATTTCCTGAAATCTATATTTACCAAAACACAAAGCGTACATTGTATCAAGGAACATTATAAAGCAACTAAAATGAATGAGGTAAGCCCTGGCTGGTGTGGCTCAAGTTGGTTGGAGCGTTGTCCCATAAACCCAAAGGTTGCAGTTCGATTCCTGGTCAGGGCGCATGTCTGTGTTTTATAGGCATGTACCAGAGCAACCGATCGATGTTTCTCTTCCTCTTCCTCTTCCTCCCTCCCCATCTAAGCATGCTCTTGGGTGAGAATAAAAAAAAATAATTAAAGAATAAATAAAATGAAGAGGTAGGTGTATATGTGCCAATACATACCAATCTCCAAAATAAATCCTTCAGAATAAAAAACAAGTACAGAGCCCTGGCTGACGTAGCTCAGTGGATTGAGCATGGGCTGCGAACCAAAGTGTAGCAGGTCTGATTCCCAGTCAGAGTACATGCCTGGGTTGCAGGCCATGAACCCCAGCAACCGCACATTGATGTTTCTCTCTCTATCTCCCTCCCTTCCCTCTCTAAAAATAAATAAATAAAAAACCAACACAAAACAAAAAACAAGTACAAAAATCCCAATTGCATTACTTTTTGGAGAGATATACATACATACATACATACATACATACACTGTTTTTATTTAAAATTACCTGTTAATAGAAGCTATATTTCCAGTTCCAAAAAATGCTGTCACTAAGAAGAAAACCTAAAGAGTTAAGGAAATGCCAAAACAGGACAGAATTTATATAAACTTCTTTTTCACTTAGAAAAGATATGCCTACTCTGCTATGAGGGTGATTTGCTTTCTGACTTGTACGTCTGACCATAAACTGCTATAAATGAATGCCCCATTTATCTCCTTGGAAATGCATCTGGAGAGAACCTGGCTGAGGAAGCAAGGTCCTAAGAACAATGAGGCCTGGGAGGTCATCCGCACTTGCCACCGGTAACTTCGGGAAGACTACTGCCCCCCACTCTCTGACATAATGATGTACCTGGAGTTGGCCGCTAGTGATTTCTGCAAACGGAGAAAGTGGGCCCAGTTCGCGTGGTAGACACTTTCAGTTCACACGTGCTTGCTGTCTGCCCCCACACGAAGAACTACGGTATCGTGTTTTACAGTAACTCAGTAGAGACTGAGACACGAGAAAACGGTGACTGTCTTTTTGACACTTCCTGAATTTCCATTTGTATTAGTACAGAAATAAAAAGTAGCTATGAAGCCTATTGGTGGCCGAGAACTCACTGCTAGTAAAGTACTTACACAGTGCCTGGCCCATGAAAGGGCTTGATAAACGCTAGCTATTTTACTCTTACAGACACATACGCAAAAGTGGTGTGAAGCACTAGAGAGGAAGTATGAACCATGACAACTTTCACTGAAATAGTGGTATTCCAGGTGGTGACTTGAGCCTTAAATGTACCCATGGTTTCATCCATTCAACCAACCAACTACCCAACCAACACTCACTGGCGGGTGTTTGTCAGAGGCGGGGCTTGGCACTAAGAGTGTGCACAGTCTCCAAGAGCCCAGATGGTGACTGAGACTGTGCTGACGGGCAGAAGCGTGTGAGAGGCGCTGTAAGATAAACAGTGGGGAAGTGAATGACATACTCAGGAATTGTAAATAGATGTGATAAAAGCTCAGGGTTCGTTGAAGAATATTCACCGAAAGATGATGAAGCAGGACATATAGACTGGTGGCAAATTTATTAAAAGCCTTGAACGTCATTGTGGAGACCAAGAAGAGCTAGCAAACATTTTAGGTGAATGCTACAGAAATAGTACCAGTGACAGCGTTATCTGCAGCGGAGAGACGGATAATTAAGAGGCAGGGAGTCCAATGAGGAAGCCACTGCAGCGGTCCACGGCAGGGACAGCGAAGGCTGAACGGAACGGTGGGAGTGGACATGGAGAATGAGGAGAGCCAGTGGGACTTCCGAACCGGACAAGGAGCCATTAAAAATGATAGTGAGCTGAATGGCTTGGGTGGTGGGGACCGTGGCAATGCAGGTAGCAGTGAGGCCTGCCAGAGAGCAATGCTGGAAAGGGGGACGGTTATTAGTCAGCGTGGGACACAGATCCGGTGACACCTAGCAGAATGCTGGAAGTATGGCTCTGGAGGTCAGGAGAGGGGTCAAGGCTGGGAAAGTAACAGACCTCAGAGCTGTGTTCACAGGAGCAGCGGTCAAAGTTGGGGAGAGGAGGACGCTATCCAGGCACAGCAGAAGGACAGGGCTGATGATGGAGCTTGGGGAAGAGCATCGTTCAAGGTCAGACAAAGGAAGAGTGAGTTTAAGTGAAGGAGACCAGAGACGATATGAAAAGCTACGAAGAGAACCTGGGTCACGTCCTGGAAGCCAAGGGAAAAGGGAGCGAGAAATCAGTGGAGGGGAACGGCATCGAGTGGTTAAGTGAGACTGAACAGACTAGAGCGCGTGCCCTCGGGGAGCCCTGCCCCCGCTGAGAGGACAGCCTGCGCAGAGACGCCTGACAAACACTCAGAGCGCTAACCTGTGCCACGCCGCCGTGCTCCGGCACCCTGCCGGGCCTGAGGGTACACCCTAGTGCACGAACGGGGAGGACACCCCAGCAGCAGGTACAGATGTTTCTTTCAAGGAGCTTGGAAAGAAACAGAAAAGACAAGATGAAGTGACCATCTAGGGGGATGCAGGGTTCAAGGAAAGAAGCATTCTATTCATATATGCTGAGTGGAGGGAGCCTGCAAAACAAGAGAGTGAGACGGTAACACGGAGAGGGAAAGCCAGAGGCAGGGCAGGGCACGGGCTCACTCATTTTCCGGCCCTGCAGGGTCCGCTCCCGCACCTGCTAGGTCCAAGGGGGACACCTGCCTGTGAGTGCTCAAAGCGGGTCGGCCAGCCTTCCCGGAGAGAGACTTCGCTCTGCCTCACCGTCTCTCAAACTGCTAGTTCCGACAACTCCCACACGGTGCCCCTGAGAAGTGACCCACGCCCTGTGACGCAGCCGCTGCGGCAGGGGTGCAGGGTACGTTCACACACACGAAGGGCGCAACCCGAACCCCCGGCAGCGGTCTCTTCCGGGCGAGGGTGACCAGGCAGGTGCCGGGAGCTGAGACTCTGGCTTTAGCTGAAACGTTCTAATTTTTTTTTTTAAAGTATGACATGCATGACGAAATACTAACTGTTAATATTCTGGATGGTAGAAACATACATATATATTTATGTCGTTATTTATATCATTCTTTATGCTTTTCAGTAGTTTCAAAGTTTTTTACAAATGTGAACTATGAGAAAATTACGGTTGGGGGGGGGTTACATGTCCTCCGAGGAAACACCACTCGCTACTAGGTGACGGGCAGAAACCCCTTCCCCGTGCTCCTACTCCACGAGGGGGGAGGCCGCACGAAGGATACGAGGAAAAAGGCCCTGCGGATGTCGTCCAGACGGAGCTGCCGACACTGGGCCACGTCCGCGCTGCCACAGAACCGGAGGCTGCTGACCTGCGGGCAACAGAAGCACGAGGGTGTGTGTGCTGGCAGCTCACGCGCGCCTGCCCCCGAAGGCAGCCTCCCGTCTATGCTACAACTGCTGGAAAGACACCTTGTGTGTGTTAACCACCACAAAGTCAGCAGTGCGTCTTCTCCTACAGCTTCATCACACCTTGATCAAGTCTGCCAAAAAATAAAATGTGCTGCTAATGAGACACTGAAGTGGGAGTTGAGCTTTTTCTCAGTCTATATAAGTGCCTCACTTTTAAATCCCCGCATCATTCTTCAGTTTCCTAAGGCCTGACCTCTTGGAGGGTCCCGACCTTCTCAAACCCAGGTATGGCAGGAGACTAAAAAGCACGATGAATCTGAATATTCATCTGTTTCTTTGTTCTTCTGCTAGTTCTATTTGTAGAGAATCCTTTCCTCTTTATAAAAAAGCAAAATATTTCTGTCTTTGGTAAAATAGAAAGTCACTCAATTCCAAGATGGGTGCACTCTTGCTTGAACCACCCCCACCCCCAAATGTCATGGGTAAGTTTAAAGGGAGACTGTCCCCACACCCTCTCCCTGTGTGATTCAAGTGTTCAGTGAGTTCTTAGGGCGCTTTAATGCTCTTTTCTAGAAAAAGGAAGACCTGTTTTCAGTTAAAATATAAAACTTAAAAAATGACCTGATGAACCTTACTTTTAAATTTAATATTAAAGTTTTTAATATTTATTTAATGTTAAAGTTTTTAATATTTAATATTGAGGACAGTCTGACCACTTATTTAAATCTGATCAAAATATATTCTTTCAATATTCCAGGAGTGAACATTAAAAACCAGTAATTACTCAATATACTTCAATAAAGTTTCTTTTTATCGAAATACATTATTCCAAATTATCAATTACTCTCTTTAAACTCAACTGGAACCAGTTAAGGACAGATCAATTATGAAAGAGTTTTTCTGTTCATCTTATCTGACCTCAATACAACTGTAAATAGTCTATCACCAGTTTCTCATGATGACCTTGGCCCTGAAACAAAGGCAGGAGACACCCACTTAACTCTGTCTCGGGGTAACGAAGGCATGCTTCCACCGGACTGGCTTTCGGGGTCACGCCGTGGCGACCGGACAGGCCGCGACCTGCTCTGAGGCCACAGTCGCCGAGGTGACAGGACAAGCACTTTGGATTTGGGTGACAACACAGAGGACAGAAATGTCGCCTTATAATCACGTTCACTAACTGACCTGTGACAACATAAATATTCTCAGATGTAAACATAGAGGAAAGTAAAGTGGAGAGCACTCCTTCTCCTCCAGTCCTTCACCTGCAGTGACCTTTTCTACAGCAGCGGCTCTCAAACCATTTCTAAGAAATGCCCATCCCGTACAATGCCTATAAAACAATAAATTGTGCTTTTCTGTTGTAAGTTGAAAAATTCCCCACAAACTGTTTAGCTTAATTATTAACTGAATTACTAATGATTTAAATAGCATAAAATTTTAAGTAGAAGTTTTAATGAAATAACAATGCAGCTTCCTTATGGAATGGAGAATATTTTAATATTCTCAAGTAAATTTTGACAAGCTACCTTCGGCTTACAGGCAACACCAGATTGTTGTAGGCTTTCTTGTTCCATGTGTATCCAGACAAACATCAAACACGACAACACCAATGGGAAGAGAGCTTCATACCTATGGGGAGCATGGGGGTGGGGTGAAAGTGGGAAGGCAGAAATGAAAGGGAAAAACATAAACAAATTAAAAGGCAAATTTACACTGAGAGGGCTTTTTCAAAATTAAAACAATCCTGATAATACTTCTAAGGCACAATATCACAAAATTTAAATTTTCTATGCTTTCCAGAAGAAGAAAGGAGGAAAGAAAAGTAACATTTAAATATCAACTCCAACACCATTTTTTTGAGATGTATAAGGTCTTGAGATCATGATGTGTTTAAGATAGTAGAGATACTTAAAAGTAACACATGAAGTAGATGACAACACACAGAAAGAAAGTATTACGGCGAAGGTAAGAGGGCAGCTCCCAAGTTAAAATCATCACTACGAGCACCAAAACAACAAGGGTCCCAAACTTTTTAAAAAGTGGCTGCCATACAGGAACATAAAACTCTCAAAAACAACAGAAAAAGAGCCAATAGATACAAAAAATTATGTTTGACCTTACTGATAACCAATACAGAAATTAAAACCATAGGGAGATACTATATTCGCTTATCATATTTATCGAAAGTTTAAAAAAAATGACAACAGTGTGCTGAAAGGAGAAACCTCACCGTTTCCGTTTCCGTATAGGCAGAAAACACCTTCTGGGAGGCGATCAAACACCGTGCATTGAGAATCTCAAAAACAGTCATACACTGCAACCCAGTGCTGTCACCTCCAGAAACTCCCTGGGAATGTAACTGGACTCCGCACTACAATCCCCACACGAGTGAGTGCCGAGTGCCGCAGTCCTGTGGCCTGCAGGGAGGGACAGAAGCCACCTCCTCTCCGCAGAGGGGTGTGGAGCACACACCTCTGTCTGCGCTGGGGTGTGACGTGGACTAAGGAGACGTGCTCGGGCCCTAACCCAGTGACAGAAGCCTTTCTCGTCCTTTCCGCCTCCGTCTGGGGCAAGGGTCCCACCTCTGTAATCCCCCAAACACTCCAGGCAGTGCGCACCGCCCAGTTTAATCCCGTTTCATCCTGTTCCCTCTGGTGCACTCCCTGCGGTTCTGTCCGATCTCGGTGTCAGTCCGGCCAAGCCGCAGGCCCAGCTCACAGGCCTTGGTTGAGTGAGTGAGTTACTTACCCAGCTGGAAGTTACAAAACAGTCAAACAAACCAACCCAAACCCAAAAACCTCTATTTCTCTTCCAACTTTTTCAAATGTTAAACTGTATTCCTTCCATATGGTTCCATTTCCCTAACTCAAGAAAGAAAAGAAACAAAATGCTTTAAACTCTACTGTAGGTCACAAAATGAAAACACTCAAGACCGGGCAGAAGGAAAGGTTTAGGTTTGAGAAAGCAACACAATCACTTGTGATATAAGATTCAGAATGCAAGCCCTAGCTGGCGTAGCTCAGTGGATTGAGCGCGGGCTGCGAACCAAAGCATCACAGGTTCGATTCCCAGTCAGGGCACATTCCTGGGTTGCAGGCCACGGCCCCCAGCAACCGCACATTGATGTTTCTCTCTCTCTCTCTTTCTCCCTCCCTTCCCTCTCTAAAAATAAATAAATAATAAATCTTAAAAAAAAAAAAAAAGAACTGAAACTAGTGAACTGATTAAAAAAAAAAAAGATTCAGAATGCCCAAGGATGGAGAGACAATGCACTCATGAGAAAATATCATCAGGTTGACAAGCGCAGAAAGTCATACAAAGCGATAGCGTTTCTGACCTGTTTAAAACAGCACTTGGTATTCCTGTTTTACAACGCGAACACCAAACACCGTGCAGACTGTGCTGCGGCAGGGCCCCGAGCCGGCCATCGGGCGGGTGTCAACTGGCACTGCTCTGAGGACAAGAGTCATCAACGACCCCACGGCCCAGGCTCTACAGCCGGCCTGCACTGCACTAGAGACGCGAACAAAGCGATCCAACGGAGAAAGCTTATGCATGAAACATAATTCAAAATACTATTTATGATAAAAAGTGGAAATAAAAAAATGATAAAAAATAGAGGAATGGCTAGGTAAATCAAGGGGCAACCCCATCACAGAATATTAAATATACATTGAAATGGTTAGGAAGCCTATGAGCCCCATGGGAAAATGTTTCTAAAATCATGTTAAATGGAAAAAAAAAGTTGCAAAATTGCCTATGAACTATGATCAATAGTATGTGAAAAAGACAAATACAGAGTAAGACTGGAAGGAAACATACCAGAGCATTGACAGGAGGAGCAGGAGTAATAAATGATTTTCCCTTTTATCCCTACCTCCAAAATGTAATTATGCTATTTTTACAATGCTTTTTAAAAAATAGTTGAACGACAAAGATTTGGAACACCTGTACCCTAGCCACTCTTTAAACCCGGGCTCAAGTCCCCTCTGAGTCCTCGAAGGCACCAGTGTAGCCCCCCTGCTGTAACCCTTCCTCCGCTCACGATTTACGCCACACGACTCACAGCTGGACTCACAGCCACGTCCCTGCTGCATTCTGTAATTGCCTGACCCTGTGCAATGAGGAGCTTGCTCTGCAGCGGCTTAGGCCTCTCTGGCCCGCCTGGGGGGCCGTCCTCGTGCCGCCCGGAGGTCTGTCTAGTGCTCAGGCCCGGGCCCGGGTGTGAGAGAAAACGACTGCTGAGGAGCGGAATCCAGAAGGTGCAGCCTCCAAGGAAAAGAGGACTCTGCACTTTTACATAGTGGCAGTTACGTGTGCATTTATTCTTCCCCAGTACACAAAAACCTAAATTCCAGAGTTCTAGAAATTGTGCTACAGACTTCTTTCCTCTCAAGAACTATAAACCATGATTACTTCCTTTTGTAAGATGCAGATGAATAAATCCAATGAAGACAACCTTCCCATGGGACTTTATTTCCTCAGACAATTAGTATCTTGTGTATAAAGTCTGCATATCTGAACTAATAAACTGGAACACCAGTAAACTGGCATTGTGGGCTCACGGTGTCCATAATAAAACGACACTGAAGTGGCATCTCCTAGTCCGGTCTCTGTGCAGATGGAACAGGGCTGAAAAGGCATTAGTTTTGTATTATAGCGTGCGTAGGGATGATACAAACAAAACGTCAGAGGGAAATTTTAACCGACTTAGACCTGTTTTCAAGTATTGCAATAGCTTCTATTTGCATAAAAATAATTAAAAATAAATCTTGTTTGTTCATAAAATCAAGGATGCATTGTTAGTAAGAGTTTAGGATTACTTAACTGTATTGCTGTAAAGTAATAAAACTGCATTTCTTTAAAATATCCTATAATTCTGACCATGCACTGGTTTCCACAGAGAACCCGCCAGGCTGCCTAAGGCAGTGACGTGAAATGATGACATGTGGACTATGTTTTGCAAAACTCATTTGACAATAATGAAAAAATGTATTAATTGGAATTATTGGACTGTGCCGTTTTGGGCTGCCTCTGTTGAATGTTTTTGCAAAAGTAAATACACTTTCTAATGCTGAAAATATATTTACTAATAATTCAGTAAGGTCACACTCAGTATTCTGATTTTAGGTGTGAGTTTTCACTTTTTATATTTTCTTAAAATAAATCAAATGTACTTAGTATAATCTGTTTTGGTATCTGTGATGACAATTAAATTGATCACTTAAAACACTAAAATGTTTATCCCTCATGTTAGCTATGTGACTAGCTCACTCTACATTATGAAATACTTTTTCACTCAAAATTCAACTTTAATCATCGATTTTCCCCTCCTTTCTTAACTTTTAATCCAGCAAACCAGATCCATGTTTACGTTTACTTGTATTTTTTAATCTATTACACGTTCCTTTAAATCTATCTAGTGCTTTAAAACTTACGAAGTGACTGCGTAGAATATGCACACATTTCTGAGCTATCTCGAACACCGACTTCCCAAGGCAACCTCTGGGTGAGGTCTCTTAATGAAACTTACGTGTCATCCCAAAATGCCGGGTTAGAATAGAAATGGTTTTACATTCAGATTTCTCATCTAGACTGAAAACTCTGCATGTTCTAACTCATATATACATGTATACACTGATAGATTCTGATCATAAGTAAATTATTTATTCTATAATTTCACCAATAAGTGGAAAATGGTAAAGAGTTTTAAGGTCTCGTTACATTTGTCGCTCTTGAGTAAGAAGAATAAGCCGATAGGCTTCAAGTTTTATTTGGACTTGCAAAATTCTGAGTCAGAAAGCAAGCCCACCCGAAGGCCTTATTATTAGGTAACTGGTGCACTGTGCACGTGGCTCCTACGACCTCTTCGCTGCTGGGTGCCCGGACTGGTGTGCGCAGAGAGAGAGGAAAGGACCGGAGGAGTGGGGAGCTCCGGTCAGAGAAGGAGGTTTCGCACCCACTGGATCGTCTCCCACCTGGGGAGTCTAGGAACTCCTGGCATGTGAGGGTCCACCATGCAGATTTGAGAACATCCCTCTATTTCTGAAAGGGAACCCAAGTCCTGGACCCAAAGTAGCTTTACAAAGTGATCCAACGTGGGAATGATCCGCTGGCAGCACCATGGTCAGCCCCTAGGTTTAGTCTGATTAAAACCAAATCCTCCCTTTGGGCCGAACTACGAGCAGCGGGTACTCGTTTGTCCGTTCTGTTTGGTGTCTGTCACAATGTGCATCTCTCACCCTCATAGGGATTCAAGTACGGACGAGGTGAAACTCAGGAAGAGTGAAGCATTTTCTTCCTCTAAGGGGACAGGAGGACACATGTCACTGTTTCACTGAGTTCAGGGAACGCTTCAGGGCCCACACCAAGTCAGCTGCTGGTTTTTGTTTTTCTTCTGCGAGAAAATTTCAATCTTAAAAATGCATCCTCTGACTTTGGGAAAATAGGCTACAAGTCTTCTGAATCAAAAGGAATATTTGGACTAGGATATAGGTAAGAGAGAAAATAAAAGGAAAATTTTAAATTCAAAGAAGAATGAATAAATCAAAGCATAAAAGAAATGCAACAAAACCTAAAATTCTTCTTGAAAGGGTCAGGTCAGCTCCCCAACCCGCCAGCCTGCTAAGACCCAGTCGGGCCAGTTTTCCACCCGCCGGACTGCCCATGACTCAGTTGTCCTGACTTGCCTGGCAGCCCGAGGCTCCATCGAAACTCTCCCCCACCTCCCACAACAGACAGACACCTGGCACCAGCCACCACGGCCGGTGGTCAGACTGACTGACCCTCCTGTGCCTGGGAACAGCCCGGCCCTTGGCCTGACGCGCTGTCCCGGCTCGCATCCCGGAACCCTGAGGCCCCCGCCTGGAAGTACAAGAGACTAACGCCTCCCCTAGCCCCTCACAAAGCCCGTGCTTTTTCTTTTAAAAACCCCACCCTTGCCTCCCTTCACGGATCAAATAAAGGCACTTGGATCAGATCACTTGGTTCCTCCTGCCCCTATTTCTCGTGCATTTCTAACACTTCTGAGCCATTGTTTTAGACTTAAAATACCTTCATAATCAGAATTTTCTAATACTGAAATAAAATGACATTTTAGCAACTTCATGAAATAAACACAAAGACAAAGACAATAGGTAATTATGAGAAAAGAATAAGATAAAAAACTGAAGATTATGATTCAAGTTATACAGTTCTTATAGAACAGAAAATATTTATGATTTAGTCCTCAAGATTTACACAACATTTTCATTTCCAGAGGTTAAATACTTATGGAGAAATGTCAATACGTCCTTTAAAACTCGCTACTGCAAACGAAATGTTAAAAACAGCGCGTACCCCGTGCTCAGGAGGAGGTAGGTCGACATCCAGGAGAGGAGTATGCTGAACAACCGCTCTGGGAGGCCCCTGGGGCTCAGCAGGGGCAGGACGAAGGAGGAGGCTGCGAGGAGACAGACAGGCAGGCGGGGAGGTCAGTCCGAGGCACCTGGCATTGGTGGGTCTCCCCCAGCTCTAAACAATCCACAGTCCCAAGTGCCCCCGATTGTTTAGCAGAAGGCTATATTCGCTCTCATTATTTCTGCAAGAAACTCCCAATTTCATAGTCTTAATTAAAATTACATTTCATTGTTTTAACCAGATATGGGCTCAGATCTTCTCAACTTATATTCAGCCTCACTCACTGTAATATTAACTCCTAAATGGGTCACTTATGTCCTCATATAAATAATAAAAAGTGTTATTCAAGTTTCATCAACTCTTCTCTTACTTAGGCATTTAGTTCAAAAACCACTCACTCCTCAGAAATTCGTTTTTTCCCTAACCCCTGCCTCCTCCAAGCTTTCCCACAGCAAAACCTCCGCTGAGAGCTGCAGTGCGCTCCTTAGGAAGTCAGAGACTGAGAGTTGTAATGGGGAGCATCCTGACAAACGGGGCAATCGTTCCCTGCAGCGTAAGAAAGCAGGCACTTCAGGGAGAGAAGGACAGGTGAGGGGGAGGGGAATGGAAATGCACGCGGCTCCCTAATCCACTAGTTAGGATGGCCGTGCACCTGGTGTTCAGTTCTCCCAAAAAGGGAGACAGGTGATGGGGGGGGGGCGGCGGTGAGGGGTGGAATCCTGCTGGAACCACTTATTAAGTGTTTGACTTTGGGGCAAGTTCATTAACATGTAAGCAGCACTTCCATCTGTGGAGCAGAGATAGCATAGAAAGGTGGTGGGTGAGGTTTGAAGCAACTTCACCTACACAACGCTCTCTGAGCACAGTGCCCTGGGCACCGTGGGTGCTTGGTAACTGTTAGCTGCTGTTACTGTTACTAGTCAGCATCTACTAAGTTAAATGTGAAGACACTCTCACTCCAAGTCAAGTCACTGCAAAATTTAAGACCATGCAAGTTATATGTATAATACCCTTGCCACAAACAGCTTCTAATATTTTCAGATATGTGGTTCTAATGATACATGTTTTAACACAAAGAAATAACATAATATTTCTTACTTTAAAACCCAGTTCAAATGAGACCTCTTCTGTAAAACTGTATTTTCTATCCTCGTTTTATACTTTTGTCTAAAGGACTGATGAGATGCTAGAAGAGAAATAAGAGTCTCCATTCTGAATGACGAAAGTCAGGACCAGCTTCATAGCACAGAACCTACTTGTGGGTCGGAGCATGTTGGGAAAAATGCTCATCGGAGCTAGCGCTGATGAAACAGCGCCTGCAGGAGGCCTCTGGAAACACTGCTGGCCTACCTGCGAGTCAACGATTTCAGGCCTTGTACCATGCGGTAGGCATCCTCTCGTGCCCAGATCTCCTGATCCCAGGGAGGAAATAGCGTGTTTAAAATACTGTATGTCCAGCCTACAGGAGGAGACCCACTTCAGATCTGAGGACATACATAGGCTCAAAGTAAAGGATGGAAAGAGATGGTCCTTGCAAGTGAAAACCAAAGAAAGCAAAAGGCAGCGAGAGTTTGATCAAATAAAACAGATTATAAGCCAAGAATGGTAAAAAGGTACAAAGAAGGGCATTATGTAATGATAAAGGGGTCAATCAGTAAGATACAACAATCATACATACATATGCACCAAAATATATTAAGCAAATGCTAACAGATCTGAAGGGAAAAACAAACGATACAACAGTAGGAGGAGGAGACTTGAATACACCACTTGCAGCAATGGACAGATTACCCAGAGAGAAAACCCCCGAGGAAACATTAGACTCAACCACATGCCGAAAGATCACCCAGAGAACACTCCACCCACAGCCACAGAACACACGCTCTTCTCAGAGGCGCCTGCAGCGCTCTCCAGGACAGAGCGCTCGTACGACAGGCCACAAACCAAGTCCTAGCAAATTTAAGGTGACTGCTAAAATCACACCAAGTACCTTCACTGATGACAGTGTTATAAAGCTAGAAATCACAACATGAGGAAAGCTGGAAAATCTACAAATGTGTAGACATTAAATAACACACTCCTGAAGAGTCCCTGGGTCATTGAAGAAATCAGGAGAAATTTTTAAAAACTCTCAAAACAAAAGTAGAAACCCAATATACCCAAACCTGTGGGATTCTGTGGAAGCAGCTCTGAAAGGGAAGTTTACAGTGATAAATGCATGCACCAAGATAACAGAAAGATCTCAAGTAAACAACCTAATTCTGTGTATCTCTTGTATTACAGCAATACACAGGGTCCCAAGAGACAACTGAACAATCACATGCCACCATGCTGGACAACCCAAAATAAATGGGTGCATTCCTGGAAACACACAACCTACCAAGGCTGAATCAGTAAGAAATTAAAAAATCTGAACACACTAATAATAAATATGGAGATTGAATCAGTAATCACAAACCTCCCAACACAGAACAGCCTGAGACCAGATGGCTCCATTGGTGAATTCTACCAAACATTTAAAAAATAGTTAATGCCACCCTGGCTGGTATGGCTAAGTGGACTGAGCAACATCCTGCAAACCAAAAAGTCACAGGTTCGATTTCTGACCAGGGCACATGCCTGGTTTGCAGGCCGGATCCCTAGATGTGGGCACGCGAGAGGCAACAGATCGATGTTTCTCTCGCACATTGATGTTTCCCTTCCTCTCTTTCTCCCTCCTTTCCCCTCTCCCTAAAAAATAAATAAAAGAATCTTTAGCCCTGGCTGGCGTAGCTCAGTGGATTGAGCGTGGGCTGTGAACCAGGCATCGCAGGTTCGATTCCCAGTCAGGGTACATGCCTAGGTTGCAGGCCATGGCCCCCAGCAACTGCACACTGATGTCTCTCTCTCTCTCTCTCCCTTCTCTCTCTAAAAGTAAATAAATAAAATCTTTAAAAAAAAAGAATCTTTAAAAGAAATAAAAAACAATTAATGCCAATCCTTCTCAAACTCTTCCAAGAAGAACTGAATAGTAGAGAACAATTCCGAAATGATTCTGGGAGGCCTGCATCACCCTGCCACCAAAGCCAGAGGCCACCATGAGAAAGAAACTGTAGAACAACGTCCCCTTCAACAGAACAACGAAGACAGATGTATACATGCTCCACAAAATAACAGCAGACCAAATTTAACAGCACGCAAAAAGAATCATACACCATAGCAGGGAGGATATAAAGTAAGGCTTATAAAGTATACATCTTCTTAATGCCAGAAGATAAAAAAGTGCTTAAAAAATTGGGGGGCCTATTTACCAGCTAGCCTCCAGGGGCTCTCTCTGACCAAGTCTGGGACAGTTGGAACACCAAAGTATCAACAGTGATGAATTATAAATCTTTGAAAAAACAGGAGCTCATGAGTCCACCATCACAAATAGATGAATGAATGAATGAATGAATGAATGAGTGAAGGAGGACTCTTATGGCAGAATGTCAAGTCTTTCCGTAAATGCGGCAGGAATGCTACAGCTAGAACATCATTTCGTAGCCATCACGACAGAGATGGCACCAGTGAACTTTTACAAATGAACGCCAAGTCTAGGGAGACATTTCAGTGAGAAAGATACTTGATGGTCTTAAGAGTGTCTCTGTAGGGATGGCTTATTATTTGCATGGGAGGGGGAAAACAAAATATAATTTTCTATTCTGGAGACACTTAGATTTTCATCAGATGTTAATAAATGTACAGATTTATTATCAGGTCATACATATTTTAACAAGTAATTCTTATAAATACATGAATGTTCATAAAAGTTCTAATTTTCTTGGTCAAGTGCCAGCAAGAGATAGAAATAATAGCTGATTATTATTATTTTCCTGAAACAAAACTATGTTTTTCAATAATAATTATAAGAATAAGAATAGCAGTAATAATAATAATAATAATAAAAGATGTAAATGGGTCACTTGGAACTAGGACTTGATGTAGTCACCTCACTCGGTCCGACTGTCCGCTCACCTAATATCGCCCAGCTGGCAACCTGGTTGGCGAGAGGAAGTCCTTGTTTCTGCAGCAGACTATTGTAGGTGCTGTACACAACGTACATGGCGAGCGCCGTGCTCAGCATCTGGAGACAAACACACACCGTGCGGATAAGAGAGGAGGTTGGCGAGAGACTGACTCACGTAAGAATACTTCACAAAGTGCTTGAACGGCTGCCATCTGGCAAAACTGCCATTGAAATGGGACCAGCTCACCTTCTCGTGGCAAGGATGGGAGCTAGGACTCGCGTACTAGGCAAAGGTCATTCTTTACAAGCATAAAATGGGGCATTTTACACTTTTAGGGTGTTTTGGCATATGTTATCACGTGGTTTCTACCTGGAAACATTCGTCATTAACCTTGACCTTTTCCTAAGTCGCGGAAATGCAGGGGTGAGGGGTGTGTACAGTTCAGTGCATTGGTTCATGTCTCCCACCTCTGGCCCTCGCCGCCGTCCTACCCACTAATTCAGTCAACACGGGCCTGTGGCCTGAGTACTCCCATGGTGCCGGGAACACAGAGAGCACAGTGTTCTTCAGGGACCACACGTGAACTAGCGGGCAAACGACCGCTTACAGGCCCAGGGCCTGGTTTTTGAAACACTGTCCAGCTGGATCCCAGGCACTCCCGCTCACCTTCGTGTTGTCTGTAGCTCCCTTTGCACCGCAATGGCAGAGATGCAAATTCACAACAGACTCTGCATGGCCCTAAAGCCTAAAACGTTCACAGTCTGACTTTGTGGAGAAATGTCTGCTGACCCCTGGACCAGTGGATTAATTGCCATTTTAAGAAATGAGCTAAGTTGAAGAAATGCCATTTTAAGAAATGGCTGTGGACAAAGTAAAGTTCTTAGAGACCAAATTAGCAACCTCACCACCAAATCCTAGAGCTATATTTAATTTACTCTTACATTTTTGTGTGAATTCGGAAAGAAAAAATGCTATCAATAAAGCTACGACACAATCCTAACTCCTTTCGCATGTAAGACACATTTTGATCTCAGAGATGTTAAAACGTAAAAAGATACGGCCTTGGCATCAACGGAAAATGTAGCATGCAGTACCGGAACCGACAGAAATGAAGGAAGTCAACGCAGAAAGGAACTTTGCAGCAGGTTTACCTCTCGCTGAGGGCATTTCTAACAGAGCCCACGAGAATGTTCGCGCGACACTCCCGGCTCCCGCGGAGCGGGCTCCAGAGGGGCCCACCGTCCCAGTGTGCATCGTCGCGGGTGGGCTCGGGCACAGCGGCGGCGGGCAGCCCTGGAAAGCCCGCCCCGTGCCCTCTCACGTGAAAGACACGCCCCGGCGGCTTCACGGGACCCTCAACAAAAGGTTTCTTCTCCTTTCTTATGCCCCCAGTGGGATCTTAAACCGAAAACTGTCTTCTTAGCTAGTGGGTACCAGGTAGCTTACGCACGGTGGCATCTTAAGAACAGCCTAGTTCAATGCGACCGTAACAGACATTCTGGCATGTCATCAGTGTAAGACAGGGCTGACGACCTGTAACTAACCTGTGATAGATGTAACCACAGCTTTTCATTCACAAAACCGTCTTTCCTCTTTATGAGAGATGTTCCGACAAACAGGGACAGCAGCAGCAGCAGCAGGCCGGCGCACATCCTGTTGGAGAACACAGTCACAACTTCAGGCTTTCTCCAGAGGCTTCCTGGGCACACAGCAGGTGGAAACACCCTGCTCGGGTGGGGCAGCTCTCGGTCGCTCGGTTAGATCAAGAGGAGGTGGTAAAATGCATACACGGGAATAAAAATCTTAGCATAGAGGCACTGTACGGGTAGTGTTATTTGTAACTTCTTACACCTTTTAGATATTTTTACTTTATTTCTAGAATTTGATTTTTAAAACTTTTGTGCAGACCACCTACCACAGCTGTTATCCTGACTTGGACAAATTTGTAGAAAACAATGTAAAGCAGTATTTAAAACACACGTATTTTAACTACGAGCCCTCATACTAAAAGGACCTGCATTTTTAACTCATGGTCGTCCTGGCAGGACAGACCGCTGCTTTACATCACCAACCCGGTGGCTGTCCCGGGCCGTTCCCGGCTACGGTCACGAAGGCAGCACACAGGGGACGCATTGGGACAGTGATGAAACGACAGATTGTGCATCTCCGGGAACATCAGGCACAGGATGGTTCCGGAAGTTGAGGGAAATGTGTCAAGGAAATGGGGCACTGATGTTGAGCTCTATTTCTCACCTCCCAAAAATCTGAGTGACATGGGACAACCAAAATCACGTTGAGGACAGGAGCTGGAGCCTAGCAGTGTAGCAGAACTGAGAGAAAATGAGCAAAAAGGCCATGCTCAGGAGAACGCGGAGCAAGGACTCCCAGGAAAGTGCTTCTTTGTTTTTGGTTTTGCTTTCATTTTCTAACACTCTCTTTGAGAATCATAAGGGAAAAAAGGAGTAATACATTCAACATGAATTACATTCAAACTTGGGAAAAATAGCCATGTATAATCAAGATGATTTGTTTGTTTTTGGTTTTCCTTTCCCTTTTTAAAAAATAATTTGATATTTTAATGCATTGGCAAACATGTGTTTACTGGAGACAACTGGAGTAATGGGGGTATTACAGCTGTGTGTGTACAGTTTTGCTTTTCCCTTTCGTTTTAACCTAAAATGTCTGCATGCCTATCCTAGCATTGTAATTTTCTCAGGAAGTGAGCTGACGTGAGACATCCAGTGGAGAGCAGAAATCTCTCCTCGGACCAGGAGTGGAGGGAGACAAAGGGGCTGCAAACACAGCTGCGAGGAGACCAGCGCCACCTCCATCAGGGGAGTGTGAACGAAGACGTAAACGCAGAGGGAAACACCACGGTCTTTAAAAACACGAGGTCGGGTTCTCATGCTTTAACCACCTGACCTCGTCCGTACTAGAATGTGCAGGTGGGAAATTCCAAGGGAGACCGTTTATACAGTATCTTTTCCTTGCAGCATATGATAAATCCTGCTCACCTGCGTCAGTATTTTTTGAGCAAGACAGGTCGGCAGAGGCTGGTGAGAGGAGGGAACGGGGCTTTAGAGACAACAGAAGGGCTCACGGAGCAAAAGGAAGCAAGGGGTAAATGAAAACATTTTAATTCATCTTCTCACTATAGTTTATGACAGCTGCAAAATGTTCTTACTTTGTAACACTAATAAAGTAAGTCTTAGTATGGTCTTAGAATGCAATACAATTATTTTGGACTTGGCTAATAAACTGACTTCCTAAAATAATTCCTGAACTATTCCATATTTGTATTCTCACAGAAATGAGATTACTGTGTTAATTCATACATATTTTAAAATTAACACGGTACTTAAAAATATCATTTAGTTAATCTTCCTTCAACTAAAAAAAGACATCACCTAGTCTATTAAAGATTATGTTAAAATGCTAAAAATATTGCTTGTACAGAATTCTAAAGAAAGTAACAAAGATGATTACATATTTAGAGAACGAGAGGAAATGTTACAAGAAATAACGATCTTTCAGCTTGCCAGCACACACACGCACACACACAGAGTCAGTCAGATTACTTGATAATAATTTAAAAGGAAACTTTAAAGGAAAGGTAACCAATTACTTCACAGATTTTTTGGGTCTACTGAGAAGAAATAAACATGGCAGCCTCCTGGAGCACTCAGGGCCGGTATACGGGACCTGCTAACAGATACAGCACTAAATGAGGGAAGGCTGCGAAGGGATCCGAAGCTTCCTCCCTCAGAGACCTTGACCTTCGGGTGAGAGGGGGAATCTCCCTTCTCTAGGGCTGAAAGTGTGGACCTGCACCAAGGCAAAGACAGAGACTGCACCAAAGGCTTTTTAACCTTTTTGTTGTGGCAACAGAACATCTTTTCCTATGAAAGCTTTTCCCGATCCCCCAGGAGACGAAGGACAGGGATGCTTCTGCACCTTTGGGGGGGTGCACTGGGGCGGGGCTGGAGGCGGCAGTGTGAGTTACCACTGTTGGGCACAGTGTCCTTCTGGTGAGGGCCCAGAAGCAGCGCCAGGGACGTGAGTGCCTCTCGGGGCCTGGGGCGGAATTATGACCGACGGCTTGATATTAATGTTTTCACCTTCAGTGTGCTCATGCGATTTTAAACTCAGGGTCAGGATTAGGTTCCTATTTCACAGTGCTGATTGAGAAGAACAACTGTATTGAAGAGAAAAGAAGTTAAAACACCGTTCGTACACGAGAAAGACGTCTGGCTCCCGCCCTACCACAGGCATCAGCGGGAACACTGCCAGGAGCAGGCAGAAGAAAATCCAGCTCAGCGAGATGCTCTGAAACGTGAAAACAAGGTATCGTCAGGCAAACATGGAGAAAACGGTCTTCAGCGTTTCACGGACTACGTGGCTGTGAACCAAAAAGGAAAACGCAAAGGCTTGTACCCGTTTACTTTAAAAAGTAATGGAGCTACTATCTGTGAAGGATCAGCTAAGTCGCAGGGAGTTTATTAGGTATGAGCATTATTCAATTCTCACAAACCCGGGAGACAGGCTATATTGTTCACAGGTTTGGATGAGGGAAGTGAGCTCAGACATGTTCCAGGCCAGGAAGCATCAGCCCACGATCAGTAACCGAACAGCCCGCGCTTTAGCCGGGGCCTGAGGTTCCGCAGCAAGTGCTCCTTCCCTTCCTGTTGGGCTGTGTGTGGACTACACCTAGAAGCAATCTGGCCTGCAATCATAAGCAAATGACTGAGCTCGGGAGGAAAATGAGCAAAAATGCTTTTGTAATTAGATTAAACAAAAAATATCAGCAGTCCCATTGAGGAATTTTACAAGTTTTCAGGGTGGGAAGAAAATATTTCTCTCTTCTTGCTACCTCCATCAAAAAGTATCAAAATGGAATGGAAACGTGAATGTATTCCTTGTGGAAGCACACTGTAATTCCCTATCTAGCTGAAAGGAAAAAATCAGGAGTAATTATATTTAAAAGGAATTTATCATGAGTAGACACTTCTCCAGAAAAGAACAGAGGTGGCTCAGGACCAGGGGTGAGGTGGTGCTTCTGCTCAGAGCTCCGGGCATGGCCCTCTGGCCACTGCGCCGCTCGGGGCCTTCCCCTGCTGCTCCACGCTCCACGCTCCGCCGCCACTCAGATACTCGAGGCCAGAGCCATCTGGCGAGAGCTTCAGAGAGGACGCAGCAGCGCTGCTTCCTGAATGTTTCGGCCGCCAAGTGACAGGCTCATTCTGAGACGAGAGTCTACGTGAACCACTGAGACCTTAGAGCAGCCCGGGCCCCCCTGTCCACAGGGCCAGGCTCCCTGGGAGGGCACATTCCACCCTTCTCTTTGAAAATGAACACTTCCCTGATGTAAAGACAGACCAAAACAAAGCAGCGACTGAAGTGTCCGAGGTCAGAATGCGCACTCATACCTTTGCTCGAGTCCACAGCGGAGAGATAAACGGCCAACCCGCAAACACGAGAAGTCCGACGGTAAGCATGTGGCGGTAGAAAAAACTGAGCACCTAGCATTGCATTCCAAAGGAGAAATAAAAGGTGAGGTCATTTCAGAGGAGTTATGTATCTGTGGAAGACACATGAATATGTTGTGACGTGGGAAGTTACTTACTAATACTTCAATTCCCAGGGTACAGGCTAACAGGTATCCAACGAGGTGACTCAGGGGCAAGGTCAACAGTGCTGTGACAAAGTCTTGAATAACTTGGTATCTGTTTAGCAAGATTATTTATAAAAAAATTATTTATACTCTACATTGAACTTAAAATGTAGGCCATATATAGTAAAAAATAAAAACTTTGTACAATATTATAAAATCTGGAAATTTTCAATTCATAGATTACTTTAAAATGAAGGGACTCTCTAATAAATTTGTTTTAATGGCTTTACTGACCTAAATCTTTTTATGAAACCTATAAGTATTTTAGGAAAAGATGTAATTTCTGATAATAATCACAAAAATTTTCTTGTTTTCTAAATTATTAATGATAATAAGTGAGCTTGTTTGATCTTAGTTTAACCATACCTATGTTTATATAATTACGGATAGAATATCAGAAATAAAATATGATGAAACCAAATTAACAAAAACTGAAAAACAATTTTTAGTTCACCAAGGTTAATCTTTTATTGAAATCTCAACTGTCTTAATGAAATAAAGGTAGGTTTTCCCTATCTGAGTAGACTAAACTCCCCCTCCCTTTTTTTTAAAGAGAGGGAGAGAAACATCGATGTGCAAGAGAAACATCAATCAGTTGCCTCAGGCACAGCCCCAACCGGGGACCTAGCCGCAAACCAGGCACGTGCCCTGACTGGGAATCGAACCAGCAACCTTTTGGCTCACAAGCCAATATTCAATCCACTGAACTACACCAGCCAGGGCCGGGGAAAATAAATCTTAATTGCACTTTTTTACTGAGCTAAATAACCTTTTCCAAACCCAATTTAAGATGTCACTAATTATAGTGATTATAATTAAATATGAATTCATAACAATTTAAAATGTATTACATACTTGAGTACATTTTATATTTCACTACTGGAAAAATTTTTTTAGCATTTGGAGTGCATTATTAAGTAGGTAATTATAAAATGTCAGTATCACTGGATTTATGACCTTTTTCCCCGTTTTGAAACAATGGCTGTATAATATCAAAACTATTACAGTGCAGGCAGGAAACAAAGCTAACGCCAGGCAAGAGCAGAATGTTTCTTTTGTTCATAATCGTGAGCAAGCACAGAGAAACAAGAGATTATTTCATAAAATCAGGTAGGAGATCGTTTTTAGTGTCATTTACTCGGTTTAGAAATTTTTAAGATAAAAGGTTTTATTCTCGCAGAACCACTCAGGGTTCTGTAGTAGAACAGAATTTTCTGAGGATAAAAACTTTCATTCTAACAATTTTAAAACACAGTAAATGACACTAAAAAAAATCTGATTTAAATATATATGTCCAGCAGCCCCCTTCCGTTCAGGGGAAGAACTAACAGTACACTCTTTTGCCAGTGCACCCTTGTCTTATCTTCTAAAGTGTGCATGCTTTAAACTCCTTAGTTTTTATGTCTGATAGTTTTGATGTTTGAATATTTTGCACGCCGACTCTCTGTAAAGGATGGAAGGGGCGGTCAGGCCGGAGCCGACCGAAGTGAGAGCGAGAGTGCGCACGGCCTGTGGCAGGACACACGTGCCGGCCGCCCCGGAAACACCCTCGCTCTGGGCTCTCGCTCCCCGTCGGCCCCGTGCGGGGCTGACTCGCTCCGAGGGTGCTCAGGCGCCCGAGACCGAGTTTACATTCCAAATCGCTGTGCAGATACAGAAGTTGTCAGGACCTACAGCTCGGCTCCGGCTGCCGGCGAACGTGAACCAGCCCAGTGGCAGCGGTGAGAACCCCCTGGAGCACAGCTCGTGAGCAGCCACTTAAAGGTGGAACCATAGCACACGTGAACAACACACACTGACCACGTGTGCACACACAGACCTGATGTAATACAAACTTTCCTTTATCTAGGTTTACACGATAGCTGGGAAAGGAGGGGTAAAATGTATGGGAAAACGTGCCAATTTCTTTGTGAAACATGGCCGGACACTAGAAACTGAGATAAGTTCAAAATGTGAGCTACTCCTGGCGTAGCACAACAGACGTTAATTACTTTATTTTTACTCCAGATGTTTCTTATGAAAGATACAGGGAAGGAAACAAGGTGAATGCTTCCCTAAGGAAATAAAGATGAAGTCGCAGGAGAAAGGTAAAACAAAAGAGATACTTACATGCAGCGTTTATGCGGCTACAAATGAAGTGAGAGGATTCGGAAGTCTGAGGGTATTAGAAATATCATTGCTGGCTCACGCTGCAGAAATCCCATGCATTTTAAACACAGACATGTCTGACAGTGAAGTGAAAAACAAGACCGCAAGATGCGTTACTCACTCTCTCGCAACCGCATACCAGATGGGCACTGGCAGCAGGCAGTACACGTAGTAAGTCCACGGGCAGGCTTGGACCAGCAGGAAAAACGCCATTAAAATGCCAACAGCCACAAAACCACATGGCAGGAGACAGCCTGGTTTCTGGAAATCAAACGGAACATCGAAACACTTCCAAACCCATGCTAATTGACAGGCTTTTAGGAGATTTTGTAAAGTGAAGAAAATGCATTTCTTTCAATGGCTCTACAACTAGAGGATTAATCTACAAACGCATTAAACACGTTTGCCATTGGAGCAGCACAGCTCAGAAGAGAAAGCTGGACAGCACGGGGTGGCTTGCCATAAGGCAAGTCTCCATTTGAAAACGACTGTGCTCCCGATGTTTGTTTGCAAGTAAGTTGCTCGGGACTCGGAACACATTTCTCCTGAGTAACAACTTAGTAAGTGTTGGCTGAGTTCTGTGACTAGCTCACGAAAGCCCACCTGACCCACGGTAAGCTGTGGGAACCACTCATTTGGAACCATGCTCCTGTGTGCTCAAGCCCCAACCTGACAGGCTGCCCACGCTTCTCCCTCCGGCCCATCCACAGTGGTTCCTCCAGTCACTTCTCCCCCCCGAACCCCTGCCGAACGAGGAGTGTCTCGGTGTGGGTCACCAGTGAGGGCCCGTGGGGGCTGCCACTCGCTCACTGCATGACTACGGGAGTGAGCAAAGTACACAACTCTTCTGAGGCTTCATTTCACCCCATCTGTGAAACGGGAGCAGCAATTCCATATGTATTTGTCAAGGCAGGCAGTGCTTAAACGAGATTACGTAAAGAGCTCAACCAAATGCCTGGAATGTCACTACTGCTGACTAAATAGTGGGTGCCACTGTTCCCTCCGCTTCCATTCTCTCCTCCTCCACTGCTTCACGGCCGTCCCGCCGTCACCACAGAAACGCATCAGTAACAGCAGCAGAAGTGGAGACGGCACTGGGGGATGGCACTGGGGGTGCCAGTGCAAGGGGGTGGGAGAAGAAGGGGCAACTCTCAGGCAGATGTGGACGGGCAGGGTCGTAAGGCTGCAGCTGGCTGAGGCAGGTGCTCCTCAAGACAGAGCTAGGGCCTGGTTCACATCATTTCGAAACAGTGAAATAATGAGAGAAGGTTAAGAGAGTACCTAAAAAACACTTAAGGGACTTTTCCAGCATCAGTACAATGTGACGTAATTATTTCAGCCGTTGCTGCATAATGTACAATGACAGACAGTACAAATGACAGCTCCATCCAGGAAACTAGAATGCGTGGAATTTGGTTCAGCTGAAGTAAAAAGTGAAAGGATTTTCAATAACAAGAGTGAGGACATTTTCTGCTTCGCCGTGAACTGACAAAGCGTGCCGTGTGCCCTGTGGTCACTCCTTCAGCCAGCAGACATTTCTCCCGTAGCACCCTCTGTTATAGCCTTCATGGGGTATGAACCCTGTGGGCAGAGACTGAGCGTGGGACTTGGCGTGGGGGTTTAATATTTTAGGGTTTTACTAGGTGAGAAAACAAGGGAAAGGCATGGAGCAAGTACGGACAGTTAGTTCTAAAGCGAAAGACACTGGGAGTGGCAAAAGCAAAGGACGGGAGTACAGAGCAACTAAACGCCAAGTTCAGTCAAGGGGAGCGGTGGCAACTTCTGTTCAAACAGAACATTCGAAACAGACCTGCCTGCACTGGTGATGAAGGAGGAACCACCTGTGTAACCCCGGGGACGCTGTCATGCAGAAGTGACACACACTTTGGAGTCAGACCTACCCTTAATCCCAGTGCTGCCATTCTACCTGCCAGGCCAGGTGACTCAGCCATTCGGCTCGTCTGAAGCTGGTTCGCCGCCTGGCCCTGGAGGGTGCTCTCCGTGGCAAGCTCACCCCCACGCCCCACCCCCCGGCAGCCCACTCGCCCGACTGCGGCCAGAGCGGTGACTTCGGCTCTGGCAGGAAGCCGGGCTCCCCCACTCCCCACTGGCCCGTGCTGCCCCCTCGGCACGTCCTCCTCCTTTTCTCCACTGGGCTGTCCTACTCGCCCACCCTCGGGGGTTCCGCTCGCTGGGGCAGAGATCTCTGCAAGGCCTCCCGACACCCACCCGCAAGCAACCCGCCGACGTGCACGGCTGCCACCGCCATGCCCCGACCTACGCCCCGTGCCGCCCTCGGCAATTCTGCAGCCTGCCCGGCGGCACCTCCATCTGCCCTCGGCACTGTTCGCGGGCGGTCCCGGCACTAGGCGGCCACGTTGCGGAAGAGGAGCCAGGGAGCTTTTTGCAAATAGAGACAAGGGGTTCAAAGTCCTTTAGTGACCTCCACTATCGTGGTCAGTTCTATGCATCCACTTGGTAGGCCACGGTCTCCAGTTACTCGGCCCAGTCGAGGTGCTGCTGTGAAAGAACCTTGCAGACGTGATTCGAGTCTACAGTCGGTTGACCTTAAGGAGGGGACAGTACCCTAGACAATCTGATCTGGGGGAGCCTGCCCCAACCAGCTGCGGGGTCAGGAGCAGCAAGGAGGCCTCGCTGCAGAAGACGCTGCACCTGTCGAGGAGGCTCCTGCGTCCAAGTGCCAGTCTGCCCTTCCCCGTGGCCGGCCCTCCCGGCCCCACCGCCCACAGCTGCGTCAGCCCCGGCCTTATCCTGCATCTCCTCGTGGGTGGCCCCGCCGGCTCTGCTTCCCTGGCTCAAACTCAACTGACCACCAGCTCTTCACTAGATAAAGTTCTATCGTCCAGCATTGGAAGCCTTTGATTACTTCAGCCTCCTCTGCACTGTCAGTGCTAGCCCTTGAACAAAGTGAACTGTTCTCCCCAAACTGAACTGTTCATTTTAAAGGCAGCATGGGCACCGAAAGAGCATGGATTTAAAAAACATTAGTTCTGCCACTACACATGGGTGTATCCCTGAAGAGAACACGTCTCTCTCTGAGCCCAAATTCCCCCACAATAATAAAATCCACGTGATGAGAATCATCACCACCAAATTTTGGGCAGTGTTGACCTTAACACGTGTAAAGCACCCAGGACGACCCTGGAACACTGGGGCTCCATAAATACTACTGTTATCCAGCTTAGCCCCTGTGTATACCTTTAATTTGCTTTTTTAAAAAATCCTCACCTGAGGACATGCTTATTGATTGGGCGGGGTGGGGGATGGTAGTAAGGGAGAGAAATATTGATGAGGAGAGAGAAATATCTATCAGTTGCCTCCTGTATGCTCCCTGACCAGGACCAAACCTTCAGCCTAGACTTGTGCCCTGACTGGGAACTGAACCCACTAGGGCCGCTTAGTCTGCTTTAATTCTCATCCTCTCCCTGCAGTCTGACTGTAAAACTCCAACCGAGAGGTACATTTTTCGGTTACCCTCGCCCTGGCTGCAGCGAGCTCTCCCTTATTTAAACTGTGACAGTCTTTGTGTCACACTCAAACACTTAAAACGTGCTGAAGCTGTTAAATGTTCAAGTTGCCTTCCGTGATGCAGCGTAGCGACCTACATCTGACAAGGCAGTCGTGTGTGTGCACGTATTACCTCCTCTGTCTAATTCTAAGCTCTCGAGGGCAGAATCTGAATTTTATACTTCTTTGCATAACCTATGCAGCACAACTAGCATTGTTCTGCACACTCAGTGAAATACTTGCTGCATGATCAGGTGAATGAATGAGGAACTATCAGCCATGAACCCTGCTGACACGCCAATCTAAGGACATGTCGTCTCTCAGCAACCTGAACATCAGGGTAAACGTGAAAAGCAAGTGTGTGCACGAGATTGCTCCAGATTCAAACCTCAGTTCCTCCCCATCCTAGCTGGGTGTCCTTTTGGAAGTGACGTACACAGCCTCAGTTTCCTCTTTTGTAAAGAGGAATTATAATGCTGACTTCTAGCACCATGACAAGTTTAAAGTGGCAAAGTAAATTTCACAGACCCAGCAGAACGCCTAGATATGGTCATTACTAAAACACGGCTGCTTCTGTCTCCCTTCCTACCATATAAGAAACGATTCCTGCTCTAGCCAACTTCATACACATTCAGATAATGAATGCATTGAGGAAATTATTTAAGATGCACTAAAGCACTGTAAGAAACTGGAATCAACACTACTGCTCTTCCTTCCAATACAGAAAAATGTAATGTAAAGTTGGGAAGAGTTACCACTGGAAATCTTGCAGTGCCACTATTACTAATACTCCGTCTGGACACATTACTTTGTAGAAAAGATGCGGTAACAATCATCAGAGGATGAAAAGGAGAAGGAAGTGGCTTATTCTTCCCGCTAAATGACAATTAGCGATACAGTTTAAAAGAATAAAGTGTTTTAACGCAGTAAAATCATATAGGCAGTGTTACATTTTCTCAGTTAATGGGAAGTATTATTAAAAAGGTTTTTTTGGTATTGAAATTATAGTAAACTGGGGATTCATTCTTAAAATGAGGATAAACAGAAAGTTCTGGCTGAAAGTTCAAAAAGCTGAAAGGAGGTAAAAACAGTTCCAGGAAAACATATACTTAAGAAGGGGGCATTCTGAATAAGTGATTTTATTGCTTTCTAGCTCCTAAACTTTAAATGTCACATCAAGTTAAATATATTGCTTCGAAGTAGTTTTCTGGCCACCAGTATTAGAAAGATATGGAATAATTATGACATACTAAATAATTATAAAAGAAGAGAAAATTAACAGTTAATGCCATAGGAGAATTTAAATTATACAGCTATCTTTATAGCCCTCTTAAGTTAGAGAGCTGTTATTACTAATATACCCTTTTCCCACCTAAAGACATAGATAACCCAGGGAACGAAGACCTAGTACAACAAAAGCAAACGAAAGCTAAGTGTTAGCTTAGCACAAAAACTTGCCCATTGCATGAACTCGTTACAGGCGAGGTGACCCGATTTCCCCCCTCAGCCTTAGTGACTTTACACCACCACTCGCACCGGCACGGCACTGTCTAAACGTACCTTCACGGGTGTACCAGCACGCCCGGTAAGGCCGGAGTGAGACTTGACGGTCAACAGGCACGCGTAAGACGCCCATCCCACAAAACCAAGCAGCACATTGGTGCCCAAAAAAAATCTGTCGTAAGTGTGATAGTAAGACAATCCTTTCAATGCGAGATCAATCAGCTCCTTGCAAAGCAAGACCTAAGGAGAAAGAAATATATAACTTGCCACGTGGAATGAATAAGAAACCTAAGACTCAAAGGAAAAAAGTTATTAAAACTGAGTAACTGTAGATAATGGGTCAAAAATAGATTTTAATTGTTTGAGGATCTTCCTGCAAAGTATAAGAAAAATTCTTGAATAAAATAGATTTTTAAATCTTGATAAGAGATGGCATCTTAAACACAAACTATGAGATGTGTAGTGATTCAAAATGATTCAGTTTGTGGAAATTATCTTCAGATAACACTAAAAAAAGGAATAAAGACTCTCTAATTTAGGTCCCAAATAATGGAGACACCAATGTGTACATAATTTTTGACTTTCTCATATCAGATTACCTGAATCAGTGATAAAACATCATTAAAATAGCTTACTATTTCAGAGGAGAAAAGCTGATCATTTTAAAACCATGACAAAAATAAGTATTAGAAATACATGGTATTACTTAGGCAATTTTAGAAACAAAACAGAATTCTTCCCTACTTTAAAGCTATATGACCACCTAACAAAGAGACAATAAATGAAAAGCATGGTGGGGCAGGAGGAGGTGGGAAAAGGCCAGGCTCCCTCATGCGTCAGCAGACCTCTGAGGGTGTGCTGGTGGTCCCAAATGTGCAAACAGATCTCACTCTAAGACACCGTGCACAGGCAGGGAGACAGAAACTGGGATTACACCTTGTCATGGCAGAAAATAGCAACTGCTCATTTCCGACCCTAAGCCCAGAAAGGTCTGCCCACAATGCCGTCTGCAGTGAGACAAGCGTGTCCGTGGCCGAGGCAGCCACTCAGGGAAGTCACCCCTTCCTGGAGGGTTCGGGAAAGCCCCCTGGCCGGCCCACCTGGCCTCGCCCCACACCCAACACAGTGACCAGCTATTTGTATACGCAAGGCCTGCATACTTACAGCTTCATCAAACTCTCTCTGTTTTATGTAAGATCTTGCTTTTCTTAAAATGTCAAACTGTTTAGAATCAGAAAGCAACCTACAAAAGAGAAAATAAAGGTTAGGTTTAAAGTGTTTCCTTCATTTCAATGATATTTTTTTAAATTGAAAATTAAAGGATGGTGAAAATTGAGAAAATAAAAAAAAACAAAGCAAAAAAAGAAAGAAATGAATAACCTTGAGCTACATTGTATTTATTGCTGGTTATCTGAACTCTTCCATGAAACAGCTTAGAGTTAAATTCGGTTTTCTCGACTCCAAGGTTGGACTGCCACACTACACTTAGGGCAGTCGGATGATACATCATTTTGGAGAAGAGGAATACTCTGGCTGACAGAGGACTTCTGACTGACTGAGTAATGAACGGCACAGCAAACAGTGATTGAGTCCCACCACTCAGCCCTCCAGGGCTTGAGGCAGAAACGACGGCGGAGCCAGAGCCATGCCAGCACCTGGGACCTGAGCAGACAGGCGGGCGGGCAGGCGGCGAGTGCACTAATGCAGAGCCCCGGGCAGAGCCTGACCCACGGGGGAAGCCAGTGAACAGGGGGCACCTACTGGCCGTTCTTCTCCTGCACTCACACCTCTCTCAGCCCCCCTGCCTTCCACTTCTCCTCCCATCATTTCCCTGCCCTGCTTTTACACAAGAGAAATACTCCCAATGCTGCATAAACTGGAAGAATCTATAGCTAAAGACGTTAAGTGCGTGGAATGTAGAAACTGAGAAAATATCACCAGAACTCAATGGCCCTACTGAAATAAACACATTTCAACACAAAACCCAACACATTTTCCTTAACTAAAACCTATACTCCTAAACTGAATACCTTTACATTTAAGTACAAAGAAGTTATTTAAGGATACAGCAGGTTAGATCATGTAAAATTGGTACTTTTCTATGTCAGAAGCTACCAAACTAAATCTTGGCGACTTCATACGGTGCAACATAATGGAAACACGCACCTGTCCACCTGGCCCGCGCAGTCTCTGAAGAGGTAAAGTGGAGACTTGCAGGAAGTCAAACTTCCAAGCCATACTATTAATTTGGGTGGGGTCACAGACTGCTTCCAGAAATGGAAGCTGTCCAGAAAATGCTTACAATCTGAAACCTTACATAAAATTTCAGAAAATTCACGAACCCCAGAGGCTCAGCCACCAACCGTCCCGAGTTCTCCAGGAGGCCCCGGGGAAGGCTGTGCCGACATCCCGGGCCCCCAGAGCCCTCAGCCCGGGTGTGCACCGCTCAGCTCTCCGCTCCAGACACCGCTCGCTGGGGGATGTTGTCCTCGGGGTCTTAGACGTGGGATGACTTTTCTTAGACGCAGGACAGAGGACACAGGCTTTCAGTGCTGTATCTAAGTTAAGTTTTCCCAATTTGGATAAAACCCTTCTAGTTACTCTCCTTCCCCGTGTTCCGATCCACTTGGCCTCCGAGCACATGGACCGCATCTTCTAGCTTACATGAAACTGATACAGGCACCTTGCCGTCCACCTCACAGGCTCTCAACTTCCTGGACGCTGGGTGACCATCCCCCTCTCTCCTACTCAACCCCCTGCCCCAGACCTACGCCCCCAGTTACACAAACTCCTCCTCCATCACCAATCTTGCATTTGCATCTGAGTTCTCCTTCATCAAGACCCTCCCCTCGCTGCTTTCCAAAGTCCAATCCTCATCGCCCTTTATGGTCCGCACCAAACCCCACCTCGCTCCATTAGCACTTCGGTGTGGTCTAACGGGCAATTTATCCATCTTCCCTTGACTTTTAACCTCCGTGTGGGCCACTGATTATTTCCGTTAATATCCACAATACTTAGCAAAGTGCTAAGCACATAAAACGAACCAATAAATCTTAATTGATTAAAATGCTATCAAAATATTGCAGGCCTAAAAAAGGAAGAAGAGTAATACACAGTGCCGTTTCTTAACACACCTAATGATTTGCTAAATTAAACAAAAACATGAAAAGAAACCTGGTCCAGAACTAAAGTCCTTTTTAGGACTCAGGGGTCCTAAAAAGAATGAGAGAAAAAAATATTTTAAATGAGAAATACTTGTTACATTAATTATATGACAGTGTATTATATATAAAATGTATTCCATGTGGAGTACTTAAGTAAGGAGACCAGAGTCAGGCTAATTTATATTTTCCTAAATGGACTATTTATAAACTTGGGGACATACCAAGCGTTCAGAATATGTCTGGAATTCAGCATAATGTTCTGTATGAAATGAACAAAATCAAAGAGAAATCTGGTGTATTAGGAGGGGACAGAGGTCAGTAAAATATCCCTTGTGTGAACATGGAGAGCTGAAAGAACTGAAAAGACCATTAAAAAACTCAAGTCATTGTGTGAACAGGATACATTCCAATACATATTCTCCCAGGAGAGAGAATTTGGCAGTAGCATTTTATGATAATGGCAACACATTATCTGCAGAACATTTCTACAGAAATGTAAAAAATTCCTTTATTGACTAAATCTCTTATATTGAAAATATCAGATTTTAAACAAATCTGTTAGCAACACGTTATAGTTAAGTAAAGAAGAACTGAGAAATGAGTATGGGTTGTACACACTTCTTTGCCGTGATTGCTATTAGTCCACCCATTTCCCAGGGTTACTTGAACTTGGTAGAAGAGTAAGCCATTTCTTAAGATTATCAAAAATTTCATCATCAATTATTTAGGGTGACTTAGTGTTTGGAGGACAAAATCTCCTTTAAAATGACATCATTTAAAGTATCATATCTTCTTACTCAGATTATTATTACAAAAATAATTTGCTTGCATAATATTTTAAAGATACTTAGTGATATATATAGTCCATTTCTTTTTAGAATATCTTACATTAAAAAAAGTATTTCAAGAAGATAAAGACAGAGAAAGCAGGATAAAAAATTACTTCTAGACTAACTTGCATTCTTTAGACTGACCAATGATGTACAATCATGTCATTTTTCATGTAGAACTGAGTACATGAGTATTTTTCCATATATGCATGTATGTGATGTGTGAAGTTAACCTGTTTAAGTTTCAAGGCAGTTTTAGGTCAGGAAACTACATTTCTAGCAAACAACCAGTAAATCAGATAGGTGAAGTAGTGGGAAGATTGACATTAAAACCAGTACTTAAATGTGGACCAAGGGAGGAACTTTTAATCACGACAGCCTACACGAAGCAAGTATATTACAAAGAACCAAAGTATTTTTTGCCATTTTAGTAGAAAACAGATTTGTATATTTTGTTAAAGGTTAAATTCTCTGAATTACACAGTGAGGTTTAAATAAAAAACATGTTTTAAATAAAAATATGTTTTTGTTTCTATTGGCAAGGTACAATAATCTTCTTCCCATTTTTTTTCTAAAATCTTTCTTAAGAGACCTTTCTTGTTCCTCTCCCATCTCATGAATTTTTTTCTTCTGAAATTTTTCTTGTCTTCCTTTGACCTCTTTAGTACACACTTCAAAGTGTTTTTCCTCCGTTTTAAGGTGCTTTCACATAGAAGCATTTCATGCTTCTCCTAGTCATGTGGCTCCACCTGCTGGTCATTCCTGGGCATTGCAAGGGGGTCTAACTGGACCCAGTTTTAGCTTTGAGTTTCTTTCTCTTCAGCAGTTCCATTTGTGGGAATGGCTGCTTTGTGAGTTTTGTTCTTTCTCATGGGGTCTTTAAAATATCAAAAATAAAGTGTACTTATTTTTTAAAGAGTAGGGTGAAACAGGGTATACAATTACCATATGCATCCACTGGACCCTTTTATGAGGCTAAGAAACTTCAGCAGTCTTATTTCTCCATTTGACATTTTATCACCCTAGAAATTATTATTCATGAATTATGAATTCTGGAAAAGACTAAGACAACGGAGGGATGGTGGAGAGATACCATTAAACAGATCTAGTAATGCTGGTGAAGTTGATCATGTAGGTAAAATCTCAAGATTATGAATTTTAAGGTGTCAATATCCTAGGTAAATTTTCTCAGACTTAAGAATTGGTGACTGAACAATGTATTTCTAAGAAGAAAAAAAATATAGTGCTTATTCAAAAGGGAAGGGGGTCCTCACACTGTTATTTGTAACAGGAACCTGAGCTGTTTGCAAAAAGGTGTGCAACAACTGTATCCTTTCATCTTCTCTAGTCTTTGTGTGTCAGTGCCTGCCAGCTGCAGTCTCCAAGCAGACAGTGCTCGCATTAGGTGCACCAGTGCCTGCCGGCTGTGGTCTCCAAGCGGACAGTGCTCACATTAGGTGCACATACATAATGGTGACGGAAAGGAAACAGATGGTATAGAAGTGAAAAAAATTCACTGGACTAGAAAAAAGGAAAGAGACCATTGTACTCAGAGAGTAAATGGTGAGAACTGTGTTTTTCTGGTACACTGAGCACATGTAACAGGAAAAAAAAGGATACTACACAAGAACAGAAATAAAATACCCGGGAATAAAACAATGAGAAATGGGTATTGTGGGGAAAACTAAAATCCTACTGAAGGACATAACAGAAGATATAAATAAATACATGTTAGACGGTAATGTTAAAATATTGAGACAATGTCAATTCCCTCCAAATTACTTCCTAAATGGTGTATAATAATGAAAGAACCCTTCATATAACTCAAGATGATGATGATTCTAAAATTTACATGAAAAAATGAATTTTTATTCATGCCCATGATTTTTTATGATTTTTGATTCATGCCAATGATTCAAATACTTTTTGTTTCTTGAAAAATGTTTTTATCAAAGTATATACACATATAATTTTTAAAAGTCAAAAGTAACCCAGGAGGGCATAACGACAACCAACAAATCCCTGCCCCACTCTCCTCATCTCTCGAGTCCCGGAGCCAGGCACAAACACGCTTCAAGGGTCTGTTTTCAGTTACTCCGGTAGTTAGCTCCGTTGGTCTTAACAATACGCTTCCGTCACTACTGCCTGACTTGACGGCCAAGGCACTTTCTGCTGCCTCTCCCCCTTCAGCATGGTGACGTCACTCTTTCCACCTCCTCTGTTGGCCACGCAGTCGCTTCACCCACCTGTCCTCCTCTCTCGGCCCCCACCACTCTGCACATTCTGTCTCGTGAGGACAACTGCCCACCACCATCCTCCGTGCAGTCCTTTCCCCTCTGCCTTCCAACCTGCAATCCCGCACGCTGTCAAGGCTGGTAACGCTTGTATTCTAGTCTGCAATTTTAAGTCGTCCTTACTTTGCCTACCGTTTGACCGTAAAAACTGAAAACCAAGATTTACATCATGATTATTTAAATTCTGTTCACTGAGTAGCAAAGTTCTATGCTATAATTAGATTTCCTTGATCCATGTGCCAATGTTCAAATGAATTCCCTTTCTCTCTCTTTAAAGATTTTTTTTATTTTTAGATAGAGGGGGAGGGAGGGAGAAAGAGGGAAAGAAACATCAATAAACTATAGTCAGTTGCCCCTCACATGCCCCCACCTGGGCCCAGCCTCAACCCAGGCACGTGCTCTGACCCCATACAGGGGATCAAACTGGTGACTTTTTGGTTTGCAGGACAATGCCCAACCCACTGAGCCACACCAGTCAGAGCTGAATTGCCTTTCTCATGCTTGAAGCAACTATTCAAAATCATGTCACTTCTCAGGTTGTTTCATAATCAAAGCATGCCTTCTTGTATACTTTAAAATGTTTTTGTTTCCCTGAAGTTTCTCATTGTCATTGTTTGGGAGGATGAAGAAAGGTATGCCTCCTACGTAAGTCACTGTGCTTCTCCCAGCTCCTTTCTCAATCCATACGTATCACAAAATTCATTTCACTTCATTGAGGTCTACTCACTGCCCACTATGTTCTGTAGGACTTGCCTCCCATTTGGACCATTCTTGCACGGCTTAGCCTTCCCTAAGTTTTTAGATGCATTGTTCTTTTTTTTAAAATGCATCCTGTACTCTTTCTCATTTTGTAAAGCAACTTTATGTTGCTTTTGATTTTATGGATCCAATAATGTCTCAGATATTTCTGAGGTGTTTAATATTTTTAAGTTCTTTCCTGTTCCTTAAATTACCTATTTCCTCAGGAGTCAATCCTTCATGTGACCTTAGCTTTTGTGGTTACATGCAGGCTTCCAACAAATGGTGACTTTCAAGTGCAGGCAGAGCTGGCAGCTTTGCTCCAGGGTGGGTGAGCCAGCGGGTGGGAGTCAACCACCCTGCTGAGCCCCGGGGTGACACAGAGCTAGCAGGCGCTCTGCAGGCAGACACTGAGCGTCAAAGCAGAGCAAGTTCATGGTACATCAGGAGGCCAAGTAAAAGGAGGTGGGCAGCGTGCACCCAGCCCCTTACAGAAGAGTGCTTCCCTGACCAGTCTTTCTGCTGAGTTGGCCAAAGCATTTATTTAGTTTTTTCTGTACAATGGCTCCAACAGTGCTTAGTTGTCTTTAACTTCATTCAAAACAGTTGTTAGGTTGTATTGTTGGCTGTCGTATCAGTGTGCATTTATGAAAAAATTATCAAAATTGGTGAATTTTTGTGCAGCCATTTTAATATTGAAGATGAAAGAAAAATTGCAACATTTTCAGCATATTATGATTTATTATTTCAAGAAAGGTAAAAATGCAACTGAAACACAAGAAAAGATTTGTGCAGTGTATGGAGATTGAACGTGTCAAAAGTGGTTTGCAAAGTTTCTTGATGCTACTGACAATTTGACCAAATAATCCTTTGTTGTGCAGCTGTCTTAGGCATTGGTAATTAACTGTATATGATCGTAATTTACTTTGACTCTTCTCCCCTGCACACACACACAGGGGGAGGTGTTCAGTCACAGTGTTCCCTGCACACACACACGGGGAGGTGTGCCGTCAGTGTTCCCTGCACACACACACAGAGGGAGGTGTGCAGTCACAGTGTTCCCTGCACACACACACAGAGGGAGGCATGCCGTCAGTGTTCCCTGCACAAACACACAGAGAGGGAGGCGTGCAGTCACAGTGTTCCCTGCACACACACACAGAGAGGGAGGCGTGCAGTCACAGTGTTCCCTGCACACACACACAGAGAGGGAGGCGTGCAGTCACAGTGTTCCCTGCACACACACACAGGGGGAGGTGTGCAGTCACAGTGTTCCCTGCACACACACACGGGGAGGTGTGCCGTCAGTGTTCCCTGCACACACACAGAGAGGGAGGCGTGCAGTCACAGTGTTCACAGGGAAATGCAGTATTTAAGCCTTTCTAGTTCATGAACACCACACCCACGTTACATAAGTTGTCAAATGTAATGCCAAGAAGACATTCAATCATGTCCCCAACATCTGGATTTCAAATGATTTCTATTTGTTTTGGTCAAGAGCACAATTCTTCCTAATTAAATGTGAATCCTTGCTAGCCAAAGATGCGTTTCAAGGAGGCTGAATAACCCCGCCCACGTCAGTGCTGCAGAGCCGGGTTTGCGATGCAAACCTCCCCATTCCAGAGTCGGAGCACCACACCTTTCTGGGACGCACGCACGAGAGCAAAGTTGGCTGCCCACCGCAGTCTGCTCCCCTCTCATGCTCCCCGCCCCCCCCCCCGCCATAGGTGTCAGAGCTTCCCAGAACTGTACCATCGACCTTCTCCTGTCACTTCCTACCTTCTGCCTACCTGAGCCTCCAATACCTGTGTCTTCGTCTTCACTGCCATCTTTACGCCGATGGCTCCGAAACCTTCACGATCAACTCTCATCTCTATCTTGAGATCCCTACTTCTAACCAATTCATGATGTCTTCAGTTTTAAGTTGAAATTCATCCTCGCCTCTCAAACCAGCTCTTCTTTCTTTCTTTCTATGACCCTTATGGTACCAGAACCTTCCCCGTCAGCCAAGCCAAGAGCCCTGTTGAATTTATCTCCTTAAAGTGTTCCATTATCTCTCTGCACCCAATACTTCCTCTGCCAGTCACTCCACGACCTCTAGCTTGCATCTGGCTCATTACTTACGAAAACCAGAAATGAGACTTGCATCCTGAAGTTTGCACGGATGCATACAAAAAAGACAAAGTTTCTAAGTAACTAATTTATCCTGTCAGCATTCAAACTCATTGAAAAATTATTTCCTATAAGCTAATAAATAAAAAAATACTTACTTAAATGGTGTAAACAAAAATGGTAAAGTCACTTCTTTTTTCTGAGACATTTTCACCTGGGAATCAAGTAGGAAAATATTTAATTATATTAGAAATGAGGAAAAAATCAACTAATCTCATTTTGAAATACAAACATGCATTAAAATGGGTCTTCAGGGATGGTTAGCTACTTTGAAAATAAATGGAATTTTGTGTTACTACATTATTTCATAAATATTTAAAGAGAAATTTACCACGACCATTCTATTGCAATAAACTGAGAATTAAGGATATCAAATCTGCAGAAGAACATTCTGTAACATAATCAAACTGTACTTTAACTCTTAGAAAACAAAAGCAGCCAGGCTGCGTCAGCCTCATTAGTAACAACAGACTTTCAGTCCAGCGGTCCCCGTTTTAACTCTCGACTGCGCACGCCAGCATGCGTGGGCCGCCAGCGTGCGTGGGACCACACGGAGCGCTGCATCGCCCTTGTGGCCGCTGTGGGGGTGTGGTCTTTAAGCCCCGGAGTCTTACAGTCGGGGAGGCCCCTCAAAGGGAGCGCTGCGCCCTCACACTGACTCACGGGACCTCAGAAATGCGAGACACTCTACGACGCTAGTCAAATACGCAAGCTTTAAGGACACGGATTTATAGGAAATAATTTCTTAAAACAAAACCCAATGTCTTCACGGAGTATACTGAATTTTAGCGCTGCGTGTCGTCTTTTACCTTGAACTGCTCCAGGATCTGCACTGCGTTCGTGAACATGCTCTCGGCTCTGAAGGCGCCCGTGCTGTTGAGGTAGCCCACGGGGAGGACGCCCTGTGTGCGGTAAAGGCTGGTTAGCGTTCGTGTGGACAAGCTCGGGCTGGCCTTACGGCACAAACCAGACTGACAAGGGACGCAGTGAGGAGAAGACACGGGGACAAATAAATCACTGGAATAACAAAGGAATCTTTCCTTAAAGCATAACTGAAGGATGTTCCTTTATTTTTCTCACCAATAAATAGTAAGTAAAGTAAATAAAGCAACAGAAATGAATTAAGTTCAATACAACCGAACACTTACTGAAAATTACCGCGTGCTAGGCAGTGAACTAAGTGCTTTGCTTTGCACACGTGAAACCCCCATGGTGGGCCACAACTAACATGCTTAAAGGGAAAAAACAAGACGGGAAGAAATGTGAGAGTGCACCGTGCGTGTAAGAGTGAGGGTTACTTTGTGGGACTTCTGTGTCGGTGACACAGACACACACACACTCGACTGTGGGCTCACAGTCCTCAGCACTCTGAGTGAGATTTTCGTATTTGTTGGATTTGAAGAACTAATAAAAATAGCTGGGTGGAGTGATTTTTTTATTTGTGTGTTTTTTGGCTTTTCTGGATCCATTTTCCATTCTTCGCGGCCCTGCCGTGCCACGTGGAGAACTCTCCCCGCCCATGGACAGAGGTGCGGGGTCTCTAAGGGGGCCCCGCCTTCCCCTGCTGAAGGGCAGTCAGGTGGCCCAGGCTGGACCACCCAAACGGTCAGCACTGGACTCTGACTGCCAAGGACGAGGGAACAAAGCACATGAGGGGGCAACGCTGCTCCCCTCAGCGCAGACCGCGCTCTGGCCTTCCTCCCGGGTCTGCAGAGCGCTCCTGGTTCCTGCGCACGGCCAGACCTGGATTCGAACACGCCTTTTAGTCAACAAACCACCAATATCTTTGAAATAAATTTCCTTTAGATGGGTTCAGTTTCAACTGCTCGTAAACAAAAATTATGCTTGTTTCCTCAATTGTAACTAAAATACAAATATAAATCTGTATACATTTTGGAAAATTAAAAAAAAAATAAAGAAAAGCTATTAGGCCTGTTCTCCATGTTGTAGGTAACACTATATATGCAGTTATAAGGTATTACAGATTTAGGAAAAATGCGAAGGAAAATACAGTTTTAAATGTAGCCAAAGGTTACTCAGAAACATAAAAAGTGAATTTTACTGCACAACACATACTGTTTCATTCTGAGAGCTGGTGAGAGAATTCTGCTGCTTACCACTGAATTCAGGGGGAAGGGGACCCCGATGAGAGAGGCCATCAGCGGCGCTACGTCGGCCTGCAAGGAGAACGAGTCCGGCTTTACAGAGTCTACAGACATGGACAAAGCTCACTCAACGCAACTATATTCTGTAATCTAAGCAGCATGTTTGTTACCGTCCACTATCTTCAAACATTTATTTAATACACATCAGATACTGATCTCGAAAAATGTCATTTGCTGGAGGTACATGACCTTATGAAAAAAAAATTTGAAAAGAAACCATTAAGAGCTCCAAATGTAAAACATATTAAAACAAAAAGTTACTTATCCTGGCAGCTAAGAACTTGACCACTTCATGTAACAGATTTTCAGTATTAAGAAAAGGATGCCTTCACCAGACAAAAAGATACACACAATGGTAGACTTGACCTGGAGAGATGTGTATGTGAACTAAAGAAAGAATGTGCCGGGAGGAGGGGTGGCCAGACGACAGGCCCTTTCGCGGGAAGACCCCAGACACCCTTTCGGGTAGCTCCTCCTCAAGTGCATTTCCCAGAGCGCTCTCCCTAAGAGGACCGGCAACTTTCGTTTTCCTAAATATCACTGCCTGCTTTTGTATTAGGCCTTCTCATTTTTTAGGCAGTCAAGTACCTGGATGCCAGAACGCCCAGTTTCAAATCCTTGCTTGTGCCCTCTGAGACCTTGCTAGGTCAGTTAACCCCTCCAATGCCTCAGCCTTCTTACCAGCAGTTGAAACCCTCTCAGGGCTTCAGGGCCTGTCTGTGGTCCTCACCACAGCTCTGGCTTCACGCCTGTTTGCGTAATTATTCGATTGGTATCCGTTCTCCCCCCTAAAGAATAAGCTTCCCTGGGCGGGGGCTGCGTCTGCTTTTCCTCACCATCACACCCCCGACACAGTGTTGAATGGTGATGTTTGCGCGGTGTTTAAACAATATTGCAGACACATAATGATGCTGATGGAAGAAACGAATAAAGAAATTCTCATCTAACATAGACCTGAAGTAGGATTGCTGAGAGCGATAGCCGAACCTATATTCAGTTTTTTATTATAACCCAGTCTGGCTATAAACAGAACATGCTTCTGTTTTATGGTCTTCGAGTTATTCCTATCCCACTGACAGGCATCTTTACTGCGAATGAGCACGTTGTTATTCTGATTGTATACACCAGCACTTCACTTATTTGGTAATACACATCCATCCTGAGGAGAGAGCATTCTCGGGGTGCTGAGAAAGACCGGGCTCCCGCGAGTGCAGGCCTGTGAAGGGGAGCCCGGACCTGGGGTCGCCCCCCCCAGGGAGGGTGCCGGCCGGGAGCTGGCCGGAGAAGGCGAGAGATGCCTGCCCCTTCGGACGCCGTGTGTCAGTGCTGCCCCGCTTTCTGCAAACAGTGAAGGTGGCCCTTCACACAGCACATTCTCAGGGATGGGCGTTCTGGGCTTCCCGTTCACAGATGACGTCACCAGCCTCGCGAGAGGAGGCTGGCCACGCATTTTCCTGTAATAATGCAAGCTTCCTAGCTGGGAAATTTATGCTCTTGTCACTGTTCCCCCATTGCATTTGTAAGGGTCCTGGATAGAGTTAAAGATAGACTATGTGTTGACAAAGAGATGGTAACGGGCACACTGCAGGAAAGAAACCTACAATGAGGTTTTAATAGATCTGTGCTTAGAGCACTCAGCAAGGCAACCATGACAAGGAAGCACAGAAATTTAACAGACAGGCAAATGGCAATTTACATATAATTATTTAATTAGCCATTGTTATTTGGAGGGAGTCTTTTCCTTGGAGTTTTACTCGAGGCTCTTAATATTTTGTCAAAAGAAAGATTAGCTGGGTTGAAATATTTGCATTGACAGGACTTCCCTTGGTAACTGAAATGTTCTGAAAGATCATGTATCATCATCATTATTAATGTGTGCTTTTTTCAGGGGTTTTTTTTGTCTGAACGTCTCACGGGAGGTGAAAGTAAATTCGAACGTGATGACATCGAGATGAGTACCTGATTGATGTCTTGCCTCTTGTAGTGTTCCAGCTTCCACTCTGAAAGACAGAAGGCGACACCAAGGCGGATGCTGGGGTTAAAGAGGAGTGGGCCGTTTCATTATCACGAGTGCTCGATGCTTAGTGAAGCACAAACGTCCTGGAAAAGTCTACTTTAAGTCAGTACAAACTCAAAGGATGCTTCAAAGGCAGAGCTGTGTGTTTTAAAAATGAGAATTTTAAAAGAACGGCTAAAAAGCATGTGGTGTTTTCTGCGATGACTTATTAAACTTTCCAAATGCTCATGTGGAGGTAACGGTTTCAAGCACCGGAAAGCTAGCAGATGAACGGGCAGCGGAACTGAAGGCACAACCGTCACCACTGTCAGCAGGACTCCAGCCCAGCCCAACCCTGTTCCAGGGCCCTGTCCGGGCATTTCTCAGCAACGCCAGTGGCTCGCAAAACACCTAAAATTGTAGCTGTGACGGCACCTACCTTCAATAATCCCAAAAGTTCAAAGAGTATAAGAGGTTACTATTGAAACTGCCTTCCAAGAGAACCTCATTCCTCTCTTTCTATAAACTCAGAAAATTTCAATAAACAGTAACCAAAATAATTGAGAACGTGTCTTTAAAAAAAAAGATTTTATTTATTTATTTTTAGAGAGAGAGGAAGGGAGGGAGAAAGAGAGGAAGAGAAACATCAATGTGTGGTTGCCTCTCATACACCCCCAACCGGGGACCTGGCCCTCGACCCAGGCATGTGACCTGACTGGGAATCGAACCTGCGACCTTTTGGTCCACAGGCCAGCACTCAATCCACTAAGCCACATCAACCAGGGCCCATGTCTTGATTTAATGACTTTAAGATATATTACTGAAAGGCTTCTAAGATATTTTATGATGAAATTTCCTTTAATAAGCTAATAAAGTTTAAAATATGTTCCTGCTTCTATTAGTTAGCTACTATACAATTCACGTTAATCACCTGTTGAGGAAAAGAATGTTTCCTTTCTCTGTAACTTATAATATTTAATATTCACATATTCACATAAGAAAAACTACATTCTTTCTGTCATGATTCTCGAAGGCATGCATGTGATTCTAAAACATTAATTCACTGAAAAAAATCAAATGCCAAAATACAGTTCTATCTCCTAACTATAAACATACTATTTAACCGAGCTTCTATTTAGATCTAATCTAATCCATCTACCACAGGGCATAGGAACATAAAATGATGCACCTGCACTGGAAAACAGTTTGGAATTCTGCAAAAATTAAACATAGTTTCATATAACCCATTTAGTCCATTTCTATGAATCCAGACAAGGGAAACTAAAACATATGCCCACACAAAAACTTTCACACAGATCTTCACGGCAATATTATCATAACAGTCACAAATGTGAAAACAACCCAAATGTCTGTAAGATGGCTGTATAAAAAAATGTGGCATATGCGGCAATGAAACATTATTTGACTATAAGAAATAAACTAATACGCGCTACAACCTGGATGAACCGTGAAAACATATTGCCACGTGGGAGAAGGCAGACGTGGCAGACAGTGAATAATCCCATTTGCATGGAAGGTCCAGAACAGGCAAATCCATGGAGACACAAAGTAGATTAATTGCTGCCAGGTGATGGGGAGAGGGAGACACAGGAGTAACTGCTAATAGGTTTTTTGGGGGGAGGGGGGCTGTGAAATACTTTATAAATAGTAGAGGTGATTACACATTCTTGTTAATGTACTCGAAAGGATAAATTGTACAATTTTAAAATGTGAATTTTATGGTATGAGAATTACATCTCCACTAAAAAAAATCCACAAACAGAAAGAAAGCATCTAAAGAAATTTAACACACAAGCCAAACAGAGTCTTCTATGGTGAAAAAACAACTGAATACAACTTGAGTTTGAATCCCTGGAGGAGGATTTTAAAAAAATTCTAGGCCTCACCCAGACTCTGGAATCTAGTCACAAGATCTGGAAATCTGCATTCCTCAAATATCTTTATTTTTAGAAAATAAAGCTTTGGATGAGTCTGATGAAACTAACTCAGAGTAAAGCGTTTGAAAGGAATCTGTTCTGTCTAATCAGGAAAAACTTTGGTGGAACTCTGCAAAAGAACCCTACCTTAATTCTTTCTCTCCAGGGACTGAGAGGCAAGGAAGGCTGGGGCCACACAGAGAGCCTTCAAAAGTACTGGGGTCAGGGCAAAGTCTGGCTGGTTGTGAAACAGCAGCTCCCACACGTGGGAGGTTTATCTGATAATCTCTGCAGATAGGATTTGACTCAGGGCTTAATCTACAGCCCCGTAAAAATAAGGAATGTGAAGGGAAAAAACCCAACAGTATAATTCATACTTGAACCTCCATAAGACAAATGATTAAGACCATATATGCTGAATATTATAAATCAAGTAATAGGAACTATATAAAAGTAATACATAGAAACAGTAATGGCACAATATCAAAAGGAAAACTATTACTTGAAAGGGATTATTTATTTATTTTTAGAGAGAGGGGAAGGGAGGAGGAAAGGGAGGGAGAGAAGGATCCATCGGTTGCCTCTGGCACACACCCCTATCCGGGGACCTGGCCCATCCGTGGCCCAGGCCTGTGCCCTGACTGGGAATCAACCCACTGAGCCACACCAGTCAGGGCTTGGAAAGGATTTTTTAAGATTAAACTTTGGTTTTATTTTAAAATGTGATATTTGTAAAGGCAATGAAGGTAAGTGTTCGTACCTTTCAGAAGTGTGTCATTAAACCGCTGAGCCGCCACTCTTTGGGGAGACTTAATTCCAGCCCCCCACGCGACGAAAGGAGTCAAGGTCTCTGAAGGGTGGCCAGCCCCATGGGAACCTACAAAGAGGACACCAAGAGGAATGAGGCAAGTCCACATGAACTAACTCACACCTAAATGTTTCCTTTTTACATACTGAAAGTGACTCCACCTGCAGCTAATTCTAGCCCCCACACTCCCAAACGCTTGCAACTCTGCATAACCTTTAGTTTTAGAACGTCCCCAGAGCCAGTCCGAGCAGCAACAACCAACAGGCACGAACGAACGAACGGGCAAACAAGAAAGGCGGAATGTCTGCTGAGTGACTCCGGCTGAAAGAGGGACGAGGACACTGACGAGGAGACGCGGAGAAGATGCCGCGGGAGGCAGCACCTCCGAAGGCGGGAAGGACAGGGACAGCTCTGCTGGGGACGGGCCAGCCAGGTCTGGGGAGGCCCAGGCTGCTCTGGAGCGGATGGCGAAGTCTCTAGACGTTTTCCTTCCAGGCCTGTCTGGCCGGTGCAGCCGAAGCCCCTCACAAAGTGGGATGGGCTCACTAGAATTCTAGGTCCGACCTCATCTCTGCCTCACTGCGTTCTCCGGGCACACACGGTGTTTTCGTGGGGACTCCCGCGGGGAGGACGGGATGGCCGAGGGTTGATCTCCAGGAGTAACCCCCTCATCCTCGCCCCCTTTGCCCTCACGCACAGCTAACAACCCTAGGCAGGTACGTCCTGGTGGTTTTTGTTTTCTCCTCCCTACTCTTCCCTAAGTTACATTTTGAGAATACAGTCCTCCTATAGTATAAGATCAGGATTTTCACACTAACATTTTAAGCATACAATTACGTGCTAGGCACTCTGCGTGCCCTAAGACACGGAACCCTCCTCAGCAGGGCGTCTAGAAGCTTTGTTTGCCGCCCTCACTGCAAAGTGCGCACTGCCTGGGGACGACAAACCCACCCCAGTCTGTCATTCCGTGGTCCGAGGTGAAGATAAATGCCGTTTTCTCATCGTTTCCATAAAACTCTTTAAACAGGGACACAAGCTCTTTGACTCCTTCATCAACTATTTTAATATTGTCCTTATATTCCCTGTTTAAAAAGAAACAGAAGAACACGCTAAGTTCCATTAATTTGGAAAAATCAAATTTATTCAAGATGAACTCACAACATTCGAAGTCAGTAACTCCTGAGATACTTTCAGATTTCAACTTCAATATTTTAAAATCGGAGCTCTTTAGATTGTTCAGAATAATGTTTCCTCTGTTTAAAGAAGCCACGGAATGTGGAACAGTTCTCCAAAGTGATTTAAGAGGAGGGTACTCATTAGCGCACACGCTTTAATGAATGCCTTTTAAGTCTCAAATGCAACAGCGACGCCTTTCCGTCCGAGTCTCTCGTAATGCAGACCACACTGTCCTCGCCACTTTGACAGGGAAGTATAACTGTTTCAGGCACAGAACGTTTTCATCCCTGAGACTGTGCGTGGTGCACACCATTATAATGTGATATCATGTCAGGTATGTTCCGCACAAATTACATTCAAGCTTTCTACACCCGCACACTTAAAACCTGCGGGGGCAGCCAGGCTGGCTGAGGAAGGCTGGCTCAGTCGGAACTCCCTGCCCGGTTGGAACTCCCTGCCCGGTAAAACAGTGAGTCACGTGGAAGAAGGGGATGCGGAGCCCGTCGCTGGCAGCTAACCAACAGGCTTGACGGTTAGGCTAATCTAAACCAAATTCGAAATAAATCCAAAGGTATGACATAGAGTCTTCCTCTTTGTTATGGTCTACGAAAGTGAGAGAAATATTTGCCATTCTATATGAGGAATGCTACTGAAGTACAGAATATAAAACTTTATACATCGATTTGCCAGATATAACACTGAATAAATAGAATTAGGTATTTTGTGATATAACACCTTAAAAATGCTTTTTATCTCTAGATTTACTGGATTTCTGAAATATGTAAGTTGCTTCCTTTCCTTGACAAATGAGGAATGCAGGATGGATGTTATTTACATTAATCTGCAGTCTGGCCACAGCACATGTAGCTTTAGCTTCTATATCAATCTACAGTTCATATAATTGAGAATTTACTCTACTTTAGAGTTATTTAAAATATAAATATAAATATAACACTACTTTAGAGTTATTTAAAATACTGTTGTGATAATCACAAAAAAAACCACTATAATACCTCAAAAGTTCAAACAGAATGGTTGTTTCCCACAAATACAAGAAACTAAACACAGAATTAAAATTACCTTGATGTTGGTCGGTGAGCATGTCCATTTGTATCTAATCCTAGTAAGTGTAAGAAAAAAACGACTTTCTCTTCGTTTAGTTGAGAATACAAAGATTGGTTGTTTCTGGCAGCATGAAAGAATTCCTATATGTAACAAATCAGTTAAAAAATTTTAGTGCATTTCTTTTATTTAGAAAATAATTCTGACGAACACATTCAATTAAATTTATACATAATTGTAACATTATCTTATTTTTTAAAGATTTGCCCTTGAGCCTACCCACACAAGGTCCCTGTCGTCACCTGAGACCTCTGTGCTGACCAGGGAGGGAGCTATTTTCTGTGGCAAAAAAAAGGTTATAGGAAGGAGATCTGATTTCATAAAGATCTCATAGTATTGAGTAAAAATAGGAGATCGAGGAAATATTTTGACAAGAGCCAAAAATAAAGCAGTACTAGGGCCTTAAGGGCACACAGAAGAGGGTGACCACCGAGTCGGGTGGGGAGTGGGGCGAAGCAAGGGGAAATCAGGGAAGCCCTCATGGAGAAGGCGATGCATAAGCTGAGTCTTAGAAAGGAAAGAGAGTCAACATGGATGAACCTCAAGGGTATTATGAGAAGTGAAATACACCAGTCAGAAAGAGACAAATACGGTATGAATTCATTTCTATGAGGTAACTGGAGTGATCAAATGCTCAGAAACGGAAAGTAGAATGGTGGCTGCCAGGGGCTGGGGAGCAGGCTGGGGGTGGCGGGGCGGGGGGTTGGGAGGGGTGGCATGAGTAGCTGCTGTTTAATGGGTGTGGAGTTTGTTTGGCCAGAGGAAGACGATGCTCTGGAGACTGGTTGCACGACACCATGAACGTACCTAACCCTACTGAACCTGTACACTTAAAAATGGCTAGGACGGCACATTTTATGTTATACGTATTTTACCCCAGTTTAAAAAAAAGTGAGTAGAACTTTGCATGGATCTGTGAACTGTTTGGCTTAAGCATGAGCCTCTGGCAGGGTGCAGGGTCTGGGTAAAACCCTCGACTTCCTCCCTCTCCACCCTCATCTCGAACACCACTCCCAGCTGGCCAGCCTGCCACTCTAACCTCCCCTGCCTCAGACTTCCTCGGGTCCAGGCTGGCCCTTCCTCCAGGGCCCGAGAGGGGCAGAATGCCACGGGCAAACCAGACCCACGCTTTCCTGTCTCCCGTTTTTCCTGCGAGGTCACCTTGAGATTCTCAGGAAAGCCTTCCCCTAACCGTTCAGTCGAGATCAGAGCGTTCTAAAGACATATTCTCAGTCCCTGCATTTTTCCTTCACACTGTCTACCTCTGCTGAAGGTTTCACATTTTTGTTGCTATGTATACATTTTATGAAGTCACAGGCAAATCTTTTCTTTCTGTTCACCAACACTAGCAATGTTGAAATAAAGAAGGGGGAAAGGCATAAAGTCAGGTCAGCCACCAGCTATATATGCCCGTCTACAAGAAACCAAATCCATGATTTTCAAGCATTTTCAGCTGTGTCAGCCAAGGGCCTTTAAGCAGTGGCTAACATAAGTAGGTAGATTATATTAAACACGATCATTAGCAAAGAAATTCACTAACTATTTTCTTAAAGAAGTTTCATTTAACTTGAAAGTTTTCCCCATTGACAAAAGTCTATGTCACTTGAAAAAAGAAAATTTCAAGGAGAAAGAGCCTGGTAAAAGAAAGTGTTTATCAGAGAAGGCAGAGCACTGAATTCCTGCCGAGTAAACGCAGGGACAAACACAAACACACACCGAGGAATCTGTTGCAAACACGTGAGTAAAAAAGGCTACATCACCGAGAATCGAACACGTACTAAAGAGTCTATCACAAACAAATGAACAAAAACTGACTACATTATGGAGACGTTCACAATGTCAGTTCAAAAGACGTAAGTGGTAAAAAGAAGAACCATTAACGGTTCAATCAATGGAAGCCTTTCAACACATGAATTATAAGTTATAATTTGAAAATGAGAAGCAATGGATTGATAGAAAGGAGAGAGCCAAGAGCCACAATTGAGATTTTCCCACAATTTTTGATAAATTTTAATTGGATGCCTGGTGAAACTGTGATAATTGCTACTATCAAATAGTGAAATAACTCTTAAATGCATAAATATTTTATTGACTAATTTGCTAATTTGTTTTTACTTACCCTAATTTTTACTTAAAGTACAATTTTTAAAAAAAATGTACTTTCTGTGCTACAACTGCATCACATTTAAACAGCGTTTTCAGAAGGCACCCCCCCACCTCACGTGGGCCGCTGAGGCGACAGGGCGGGCAGGTCACACCTGGGACGGTGCGGGTCACACCTGGGACAGCCCACGAGGAACGAGACTCAGGCCGACCCGAGTCCAGCCCAGGGCTTGTTCACGCTCAGAAACGGGTATCACAAAAAGGTTATCTTTTTAGAATTATTTCTTAAACTTCTCTTTAACTGGTTATTGTAGAATGTACAGTTTCTAAGTAGCCAGTCTTTTAAAAAACAGTGTGCTACAACATAGAATTTTTATGCTCAAGTAAGTAGAAAACCACTTAACACGCATTTACTAACAAATCAGTCTCTAGCACTTGAGGTAGAAATACGTGGGCTGCATGTTAACCACTGCACGCACCTTAACATGATCAAAAACCCACGTATCCAGTTTTGATATATCCTGGGCACCAAAATCCTCACTGTCAGCGTCATAACTATATGTAAAAACATGGTTTCCTGTAGCACCTGAAAAGGAAATGTGGGGGGAAAATTTTTACCATCTTTTAAACTGTTATAATAATGAAGTAGTCATTAAAGATTTTTGTGAGTACCCAAAATTTTTCACAAAGCTTTTGTATTATGATGGGGAAGATAAAGATGGGAAGAATAATTAACGTTTATTTCACGTATCCATGGACCATGCTTTGCACACATGCTGTTGCATTTTGCTCTCACAATAACACGTTCTAGTTTTGCAGACACACTACATGTAAGTCAATTACCTTGCCAAAGTGACAATGCTGGCATACAAAACTAAACACCAAAGTTTGTCTCCCTATAAGGATTAGAGTACTCAAAAAAATTTTGTGTATATGTTAGGAGGTTACAACCTAAAACAAATGAAGTAATTTAGTTTAAAAAACTTCCTAAAGCAAGAAAAAAATTCAAATATTCGTTTCTCTTACTCATAGAACATGTGTAAAAGGTCGGGGGGGGGGCAAAAAACCCAGAATTTATTTATTGCAAATTGTGTATTTATTCTTGCATGTTTAAACTTCAGTCACCTTCAAAGTACTCTCCATTTGATGCAATACACCTATTGAGATGTTCTTCCCATGCTCAAAACAGTTTTTGTCGATTTTGAACTTGTCGATTTTCATGCCTTTTAGTGCTTCTGCCATTTATTATTTCACCTCCCACAGTAACAAAATGTTTCCCTTTGAGGACTATTTTCATCCAGGGAAACAAAAAGCAGTTTCTAGGGGAAAGATCAGGTGAGTAGGAAGGGTGGGGCATGGGGTCCTGCTGTTTTTTTGTCAGAAACCACTGAACACTCAGCGCAGTGTGGGCAGGTGTGCTTGTGAATCGCCCACCATGAAATGGGCACATTAAGAGTCTTTGAAAAAACTCCCTGCAGCTGAACACAGCCTCTCACAACAATGCCAGCTGGTGCACTGCCACAGATGGGGTCCTGGAACACTCACCTAGCCAGGGAAGCCTGTACTACAAGGGGCTTGCCCTCTAGAAGATAATTCCATTTTGGGGCAGGGGGTTCCCCCTCATATATTTCTCAATATTAAGGGAATAAATATTGCTTACTGCTAAACAGTTTGACAGAGTAAACAAATATATTAATCTTACACATTTGCAATATTTTACCAAGAATCCAATCAACTTAGTAAATTTCTGAGTTTGACAGGCTCTGCCAGATCATAGGGAAGAGATAAAATAATGATAATCTCTTGCGACATCAGTGTAGCTCTACTAATGCTGGCCGTTCCACTGCTCAGCCATTCTAATCCCCAGGTCCCGAGTACAGATCCGAGTGGGTCTGCTGGTTGCCGCAAGAACCGGAGCACTCCTGTGGAACTGCCCGCGGTCCAGGCGCTGGCCCTGTCCTGTCAACCACAGCCAGAAGCAGGACGCTGTAAACCATAGCAGCTTAACCCATGCTCACCACCGCTGGCACCCCCGAAGCCAAACTGCTGTCCCAAGAAGGGAGTATGTAAATGGAAAGGAGTTTGCAGGTTTTTGGGGGGATTTTTTTTTTGGCATGCCCTACATAATAATGTTCTCTGAATAACATACGTAAAATCCTGAATATGTATTTGCTTTGAAGACATATTAATCTTCAATAATTCCAATTAATTATAATTATACCTGTGGCTAAGTGTCATGTTACAAAACCTTTTCATTAAGTGAGGTGACCATTCTCCCCCACTAAAAGGCATTTAATGACATAAAATTGAAATAAAATCCTAGTGATTTTAGGAAGTAATATTAATTTTGTAATCAAAAGATGTTCTAATAATTGCAGATTCGTACACAGAAACAAACATAACAAATCCAAATGGCAAGATCTTGAATATATAAAAACAGGAATCATAAATATAAATTTTAGTGTTTAAATCTTTATGTGACTATGTACTAACCTCTATTTAAAATTTTTTACCAATGTCTTAATTTACCAACCTAAAATAAACCAGGTATCAACAGCTTCATCATGGGGAGTAATATAGGCACTTTGCTAAATGTTTCATAAGAATCATCTAATTTAATCCTAAAAACCAACCTATGAGATAAAAACTACCATATTTACAAAAAGGCAAACTTAAGTTCAGAGAAGTTCTTTAACTTGCCCAAGATTATAAATAAATGATACGTGGTTAGTGCCACGTATCATTTCACTGAGTCCAAAACACTGACAACTATGTGGTGTGCCGATATTTCAAGTGCGACCCAGAAGGAAAAATCAGGTTGACGTGTCTATTCCCTGCAACACACATCCCTAGTTCAGGAATGTTAGCTATGTTAAAATGTATCTCAAAGTCAGTAAGGCCTAGTATATAAAAAATTACCCACTGGCTTGTTAACCTATTTATTCTCTGAGAACGTGTCGCCGACGACTCTCACCTTTGGCAAACATAGACAGGATATCCGGGCTTCCCCAGCTCCACGTGTACCTGCTCTCATTGAAGAGAGAGTCAAATTCTACAGGGTTTTCTTTCCATCCTTCAGAGGGTTGAGAAAAAAAGGAGCGAATAACAACAACCATAACATATACGTGGTGAGATATTACTATAGCCCCTAAAGAAGTGTTTTTCAAATAATACCAATGAGGACTAATCACACAACTAATGCAAAAGTAAAAACGGATTTTGTTACATATACCATGCTATAATTTTTTTTAAAGCTTACAGCAGATAATTTACTTTTTACTAAAATACGTAATTATTTTGAACTTTTGAAAGTTAATGTCTAGGAAAACCACAGATCCACCTAATCACATTCTTTTATTTATTTTTTTCAATCACATTCCTTTAACAGCACAGGATAATACAAGACTAAAAGCTGAATGCTTGAACTAATACCAGTGTGTGTTTACGTAAGGTCTGCTAAAATATTTATGAAAAGTATCTAGAAACATGCTTCACCCTGTGTCCTGAGTCAGGGTAAACAAGCACTACTGACATAACAAGTTCTCCCGCGCTAGAACTGCCTGAACAGGCGATACCTTTGGCAACTGCGCTGACATCTTCATAAAACCCAGCTATCACGGCCACATGGCCCGGCCGAGACTCCGTTGGTACGCGCGTGTGAGAGACGCCCCAGCTGCCTTCCTGCATCACGACATTCCTGAAAGACACCACCGATGAACAGTTAACGCAGACTGCAAGTACTGCTCTGGGAAGGTCTGGGAAAAATAAGGTGATTACAGAAGGAATCAAAACCAAAAAGGTCAGTCAAAATTTAGGGATGAAAGAAATCCTTTTAACCCCCGCTGAGCCCAGCCCCAGCCCTCGTACCAGTGGATGGACAGAGTACCACCCACCTACCGCATGGAATCGGGACAAAATACACCACTGTTGTTTTAAGCCACGAAGTACTGAAATGGTTTGTTACATAATTAATAATCGACATACACAAGAAAATTCTATCACTGCTCAATTTTTATTAGGTGCGATGATGGTATTATGGTCACGTAGGAGAAAGTCCTTGTTCTTAACAGATACACACTGAAGTGTTTAGGGATGGTGTTGTGTAATATTTTTACAAATTTTTATTCTTTTAAAAAATTTTCCAGCCCTGGTTGGTGTAGCTCAGTGGATTGAGCTTGGGCTGCGAACCAAAGTGTCACAGGTTCAATTCCCAGTCAGGGCACATGCCTAGGTTGCAGGCCATGACCCCCAGCAACCGCACATTGATGTTTCTCTCTCTCTCTTTCTCCCTCCCTTCCCTCTCTAAAAAAAATAAAATCTTTAAAAAAATGAAAAAAAATTTTCCATTATAATTGACATTCCATATTATTTTATATGAGTTTTAAGCGTATGGCACCATGATTAGACATTCATATAGTTCACGAAGGGATCCTCCCCCCGGTAAGTCTAGCGCGCATCTGCCAGCAGCCCCACTGACCACATTCCCTACGCTGTACTCTACAGCCCTGGTTGTAACCACCAATTCGTGCTTCTTAATCCCTTCGGTTTTTCCACCCAGTCCCACACCCCCACTGTATCTGACAGGCATCGGTTTGTTCTCTATATTTAGGAGAATCTGATGTCTTGCCTTCAAATTATTCAGGAAAAAAAAATTAAGCCTCTGTGTGTATGTGTGTGTGTGTGTGTGTGTGTGTGTGTGTGTGTACTGAGAGGATGCAAATATGAAAAAAAGTTAAAAATTGTTATATCTAGGTTATAGGTATACGAATGCTTATTACATACCATATTTTTTGGACTATAAGATGCACGTAGGTTTTAGAGAAAAATAGGAAAAAATTTTGAAGCAAAAAATGTGGTAAAATATTTAATAACATAAATAACATAATATTTCACCAATGTAAATGTAAACAGAACTCAACAGCAGCAATAACAACCATTATTCCTCCCAAATTTGGTGGGGGGGCAGGTAGTGCATCTTATAGTACAAAAAACACAGTAATCTTTCCAAATTTTCCTGTACTTGAAAAATTCTTTAAAAATTAAGGGAAGGGGGAACGACTACACTCCCAAGTAGAAGTTAAAGTATATCTCTAAATTGGAGATTAAAACAGGCAAAAATGTATCAATATTCTTTAAATTGTATCATAGTGATTTGAAAAATTTTGTAAAGCAACGCCCCCAGTAATGCCTTTGCAGGGGAAAGGTCAGCAGAGCAACTAGTTACAGAACACTGCACTGGAACACGTTTCAGGAGATGTGCTTGGCTCTCCGAACCGTCTGTATGAAAGTACCTGTAAGATAGCGGTGCGGTGACAGCCAGAGGGAAAGGGGGCGGGGAAGGGGGTGGTGGAGGGGGGCAAAAGGGGCAAAAATGGGGACAGAAAGAGACTTTTCTCGGAGTGGTGGGTGCACAATGCGGTGTACCCGTGATGTTCTGTTGAGTCACGCACTTGAAATCTGCATGGGTTTGCGAACCAACAGCACCCTAATCTATTCCATTAAAAAAAAAAGTTTAAGTACTGGTTTAGACACTTTTAGTACTGACTTACCTCATAATGAAACAAATTTTGGAAAAAATACACACATAATAAGTAAAAGGCTTGAAAACCACTGAACCACATATTCAGAGAGAAATATTTTTTTTAACTTCTTCAGTTATATAACGAAAACTGAACCTAGAAAGATGAAGGCATAAAGAGATTTGGATACCTCTGCTTAAAAACACTTTGATCAGATCAGATCATCCTTTTTTCCAAGGATGTCTTTGTCTGAGGTGACACGCTCACCTAATAAATGGTGCTCTCGGACTTCCGTCCTCATCGAATTCGTGAAGTGTGTCTGCGCGCAGCCCATCGGCGATGATGAGCACCAGTCTCCGCGCTGGAGGGGGCAGCGGCGTGAACTGGGGGGTCATCCCATGGACCAGAGGAGACGTAAAGTAAATGTCGAAGATGGAGGCGAAGAACACGATATGGACAAACAGTCCCACAACGAAGAAGAGCAGCATATCCAGGGCACCTAATTAACCCTCAAGAAAAGCTGAAAGAGGGAACAAAATTAAATTGGGTAGACCTTAATGCAGTTATACACTTTCACAAAGCTTGATGACCTCGTGGAGTAGAGATATATATCTTACAATACTGCATATCTCACATCTTAATTTGTGGTGGTAACAGTAAACCTTTTTTAATAATGAGGTGACACTGAAATAAAATGCATGATAATATATACTCAAGGAAAAATAAAATGTTCAATAAGCAATTAGCTCCAGTGAACTATTTATAATAAAATTAAATGTATACTAGACTCCTAAAAACTAGTATACAGTAGGATAAAAAAAATAAACAAAGAACTAAATGGGCCCTAAAATGAATTGGGGTACAATTAAATCCAATCCTATATGAAATAGAAAATATAACTCCCGGTGCTCTTGGCTGCCCATATGACAACCACTGCTACTCCCAGAATTTTCACATCATCTATATGTGTGAGAATTTATTTCAATGTTCGCTTATCGGCCCAGGAGACTTCTAGCTTTTCTCCACTGTCACCGAGTTGAGTAGACAACACCCATTTTTGTCCAGTTAGCTAAATTATAGGAAGGAAAAAGTAGTTAAATTTCATCTTTGCTTCAGAAAATGTGTACTCATTAAGGGAACACAGTTTTTTAGTTCCCTGAAGAGCAAAGAAGAAAGCAGAAAGTTACATTTATTCAGTCAATAAAAATGTCCTGTACACATATTAAGGGCATAATTGTGTGCAGGGGTACTATGGAGACCAGAAGAAGGCACAGTCACAGACCTGACAATCTGACGGGCTTACAAGTACTTAGCAAGGGAAAACTAAGCAATGTGAAATGAAACATTTAAATAATTCTGTGAGACAGCATGCAATTGACTGCCAAGGTCAACCTGTCCACGGAAGTGTGTTTCAAGTCAGTCTAAAATTTGCTTTTGTGGATGAGTCTCTGGAGGTTAAGAACAACAAAGCACTCTAACATGTCTTTTTTATAGTGTAAAAAAGGGGTCACATACAGTGACCCTTGGGTGAAAACCCAAGATGAAATAATTTTGATTATAGATACATGTTACTCACCCTGGCCTGAAAAATTACATCATGGAAAGAAAGGGTGACAAAGTACCCTGCAAAGAGCTTAAACATTAGGGAATAAACCTTATCAAAGCCAAGCATATAACAAAAAAAGGAAATAGGGCAAAGGGTCAAATTATGGGCCACTTTTTTTTCCTGAGAAAATCAAGAGCAGCTAAATACCAAAGATTTTTCATAAAGTATAAAAATCCCTTAGTGAGTAGATGCTGTTCTGCAGTCTAACGTAAGACTACCAGAATAAATATTCTGCTTTTTCTAATATATATGAGTTTCAACTAAACAACAAGCACTATCTTAATAATGGCATTCTGAATATAAAAATAAGACAATCACTCTGATAAGTTTAGAAAATATAGAAAAGTTACCCATAATTTGACAACCTAAACAAAAACCTATTACATTTCTTATTTTATCCTACCTACATTTTTAGAGGCTCACAATTTTATGTATTGATTTTTTCCTTCCCTATACATTAGCACTTCTGCTATTAAAAACAAAACCTCTTCCTCTGCATCGTATCTTTATATATCTATTCTGTGGGGTGAATCTTAATTTTCTTGATTACCCCCACATTATGGAGCATTAAGGTTTCTTCCAGTTTTCAGCATTAAAAGCCAGTGTGACGAGTCTAAAGGAAGCCCTGTCCGTCGTTTCTGCGCATCTGGGTGAACACCCTTGAAATGCCTCTCTTCAGACACCTCCTTCTGAATCACGCCCACCTTCAGGAGAACCTGTGATCTTGTGAACTGCTCTGTGATCCGATCCTCACCTCGCTCTTCCCACCTTCGTGCCATCCTCCTTAAATTCCTTCCTTAACTCCAAATGCATAAGAGAAACTGCAAAATGTCCTTCAGAGAAGCATGTTGCCTATGCTGAAATCTTGCAATCTTGCTTCTAGTCATATCGTCTGTTTCGCTCAAATAAATTTTTTAAAAAATTCTCTACAGGTTGGTATGTTCTTATATCAACAATTCATAATGAAATGCTATGGAGCACTGAAAATGAATTAAACCACATCTGTGACAAGGATGCACCTCACAAATATAAGGCTTAATTTTTAAAAAATCTTTTAAAAGCACTGATTGCTCTTTTCTCCCCAACACCACCAAACTTTTTGAAAATATTGAATACAATCTCTTTTTACTTGGCCACCTAATTTCAAACAACTTAAATTGAGCCTTTGTTTTCATTACATCAGAGGAAAAGCTTTCTACTAATGTAGCAAAATCCAATGGCTTTTTTCAGTCATCTTCCATGGCTTACCCAGTCCCTTTGTCTTTGGTAACCATGCCGTCTTTGAAAAACAGCTCTCATTTCTTGGCTTCCTTGAACATTACTTCTTTCGTTTTCCTCCTAAACCTATGACCTGTGTAAAATGGGCACTACAGGTCAGTGACTTTTGGAGTTCCTCAAAAGTTGGTTGTAGGCCCTCTTCTCTCCTCCCTCAATACCTTCTATTTAAACATTTTAAATCATATCTTTGGCTTTAGTTACCACATGTATGCAAAAGCCTCAACAAATTATAGCTCCAACCCCATATATGTAACTCTAACCTTGACACATCCACTTGCATATTTCAAAGAAATGCAGCTGAGTATGTTTTTAGCCAAACTCGTGGCATCACCCCCACCACCCCGGCCCATGCCAAGAGCCCTGTCCTGTTCAGGCAGCAGCCCCCCACAACGCCTAGGGCTCCGGGTCTCAGGTGAAGGCACCACCTTCCATCCCGATATGCAAATCAGAGAGCTAGGAGTCACTCTTCACACCCCGTTCTTCTGCTGTGTAGCAATGTAGTATTTTTTTTGTTTTGCTTTTTTCAACATGTAAATCTGAACAACTCATCCCTTATTAAAACCCTTTAGTGCCTCTCCCCCATCCTAATCAGGACTGAAATCCTTAATGGGACTAACAAGGTCTCACATGGGCTGGCCTCTGCCTCTTTTCCCAGCCTTGTCCCACAGCACCCCCTGCCCCCTTTGCTTCATGGCATCTCACCACACTGGCCTTTTTCTCTTTTCTAAATTTCTTCTCATATGCCATGCTCCCTATTGCTGCAAGGCCTTTGTGGGTACACATCTTCTCCAGAGACTGCACCTCCGACCTCCCCTCCACCCTCTCACCCTGTCTCATAACGTCTCCTCATGCTTTCAAGCACCACCTCCGCTGGGACTCTGCAGTCTGACTCAGAAACTGAAACTTTTACTTTGGTTCATAATGAATGACACAGCTGTCTTTCACTATTACTGTCTGTCTCTATCACGTAACCATAATTTCATCACAGCAAGAGAGGGCTTCTCCAGCACTCATCACAGTCCTCCGCACTTAGCAAACGGTTACTGAATTATTTAGGATTATCATTTCAATGGTACATGTAATATGCACTATTGCCACTAGAGGCCGCTTTGCTTCTCTTTTTATTGCTCCAGAACATAGAGGAAAAACTGTGAAGATTTAGGATACAGAATCGCACTTTATTAGATTTACTGAAAAAAAAAACTTTGTCATGATTCAATTATTTAGAAACCTCTCCAAATAACTGAGTAACTACTAAAAATTTTAAGACACTTATCCATGTACCAATAAAAGTTTTTGCCTGAGAAATGTTTGCTATACAATAAAAAACAATAAAACATTAGATATTTCTAAAACTTTAAGTCAATCAAGACTTGCACTTAAAATTTTATTTGTAGTTACTTTAAAACTTTTAAAGCCAAAAATAATTTTTAGACACAAAAATGATTGAAGTATATGGAAAAAAAGCAATCTGTTACATTTTCATCACTATGATACAAATTGCAATCATCCTCATTATTCAATGAAACACTAGCTGTAAAGACCCATATTAATGCAAATCTTGCTAAGTAGAAAAATATTCCCAACATATTAATAATAAACTATTGTTAAGTAGAGATCAGCAATTATCAATATTCGAATGTGTGCTTCTTAAAATTTTTTAAAAGATTTATTTATTTTTAGAGAGGGAAGGGAGGGAGGGAGGGAGAGAGAGGGAGGGAAACATCAATGTGCGGTTGCTGGGGGTCATGGCCTGCAACCCAGGCATGTGCCCTGACTGGGAATCGAACCTGCGACACTTTGGTTCACAGCCCGAGCTCAATCCACTGAGCTACACCAGCCAGGGCCAAAATTTTAAACTGACACTAAACTTCTGTATAGCAGAAAAGCAAAGTACTCACGGAGAAGACTAGCCAGTTGGTTCGTTATGGGCGTGGAAGGTCACATCAATAAATCCATGAAACTAGGATATCAAGTAGAATCAGGAAACTAGATTTGTATAGGAAGCCAATCATGAAGGTCTTCTACAGCCAACGGCTCTGAAGAAACAAGTTAAATCTATGTTCAACTTATATTCTATAAGTCAGACTCTAAGTTAAAGCTGTGCTTTTTTTGCCCTACAGACTTAATTGCTTTTTCCAGTTGATATTTATTTTTAAAAACCTGCCATATATTTTCAATTTATACTAATCTTGCCTAAATGATAAGCTAATGATATACTAATCTTGCCTTTATGATATGCTAAGGACCAGGCTCCGTGACCGGCACATTCCTAATTCTGTGTACTTTCATCACCCCTCTGACAGATGAACGTGAGGTTAAAGAAGTACCTAACTTTTTGAATGTCTAACAGCAAATAATTGGTACAACTGGGATATGGACTTTAGGCTCTTCCACCTGGTATGAGCAATCCTCTTCAGGAACACTAAGTGCAGGAAATTTCTAAAATTCCTCACTGCAGAAATGGAAAAACTGTATATAAACTACCCATTTCTAATCCTGCCCTTCCCAAGTCATCCCTAATCCCTCTCATTCCTCCATTCTACAGGCTGGTTCCACTTTCAGTCTCTATGGCAAACTCAGAGTAAGGATCAGCAATCCTTTCTGCCAAGAACTATGTAACCGGATACAGCATTAGTTATTTTTAATACTATTTTCCTAACATGAGATTTTTTCATGTTTTTCTTCAATATATGTCACCGAAAAAATATTGAAATTCAAACATCAGATGCTTACTTTCTATAAAAAGTATTTCACATTCTTAGTACTAACAATGTGTCAAAAACTTCTGGCAAAAACAAATTTAAAAAGCCCAAAGCTTCATTCAAATGAAAATTTTAGTTTACTGAGCCCGGGGAAACTGAAATGAAAGCCTACACTTAACTGTTGGCATACGTTTGCATGTAAACCAATAACCTGCCCGAAGGTTATATAAGAATGCTCCATTTTAATTTTTCCACAGAGCTAAAGGAGATACTTTACTTCTGGGATGTAATATGTACCTTACCTGATAACATAATGACTGCTACCTATTTATTTGGGTGCTTAAAGGAAGCTATATAGAAAGAAAGGAAATCTTAAACCTGTGAAAGTAGCAATTTATGTGTGAAGAAAAGAGAAAATCTTAGGAATAGTGCTCTAATACCGTTGGCTAGAAACTAATATCCCCTTGCCCACCTCGCATTGTAATCAAGGAATGATAAAAGATAAACAGTGAACTTCCAAATTTAGTATACTTACTTTATGTGCTAGCATTTGACTAAAAAAAGTAAAAACTATCCAAAGCATCTAAGTTTTAAAATAAGTTTCGCCGTCAATACCTGCATTCCAGCCTAAACGGACAAGTTGCAAGGCATAGTGGGAGAAGAATGGCTTTTTGGACGTTAACAGAACTGCTTTTAGTTCCTTTGAATATTTATGAGTAGAGTTGACTTGAACAGGTCAATGAACGTTGCTAGGCTTAAATTCACCGATCTCTCTACTGGATGGCACTGTATGTGGACTGGATAGGGCTGTATTTGGAAGGGTCCCTGTAGTGCAAATTAAGTATTAAATCCTAAGTGTTTATTGTGCCCCTAACAGTTTGTTATCCAAATTGAAGCTATCAGGGTATTCACAGATCCAAGCAAATCCTTTTCCCATTTACTTTGCACCTCCCACGCCCCACAACCACCTGCCGTTTTGTAGCACTAATTCGAGGGCGAGAAGGCGCTACCCAGAAGTGCAGGCAGTCGGTGCTATTGCCAGGCCTCCAGAGCAACCAGGCACGTGGCTGGGAAGGGAAGGAAGATTTAAAAAAAAGCCAAATTCTAACTCCTGCCTGCGCACTCGCTACACATGCAGGAAAAATGTCACCAATGAGCAGCAAAAAGAAAGAAAAAGTGAAGCGTGCTGGAAAAGCAGCGCGTCTGTGGGCGTGGGGCCAGTTTCGGTGCCTTCGTACCTCTGTGCACCGGTCCCCGGATTTTACCTGGGACTTATCCCGGTCAGGCCTGATCCGGGAATGAGGCCTCCTCAGCTCGAAGGCAGGACCCAACTGTGGCAGAGTTCTCCTCTGCCCCGCGAAAGGAGAGCCAGAAGAACAGGTCCTAAGTCACGGTCATAACCGCATCTCAAGCTCAGAACGCCCCTTGACACTCACCTGGCCATTGACTGCTCTCGCGACAACTCTAGGACCAATCCTATGTAACCTCTCCTCCTCCTCTTTATTCCCCTGGCCAATGAGACAGGAGTGGAGGCGGGGTTTTGCCTTCGAACCTAGAGCAGCTTCGCTCGCGGGTGTGTGAACCTACCGGGCTGGGGCGGGGCGGCGCAGGACGGGGCGGAGAGAGGGGGGCAGACCGCGCCCCATTTCTCGCGAGACTGGAGACCAGGAAGACGCCTGCAGAGCCCAGCTGCTGGTGCAGCAGGGGCTGAGACAACCTGTGCAGCTGCGTCCGGACCGGCTGCCTCTGAGCCTACGCCTGCTTTCCAGGAGGGGAGGCAGGACGTGGCCAGTCCCGGGCTGTGGAGGTGCGCAGTGCCGGCTGAGGATTAGGGGGAATTCAGGCTGCGGCCTGTCAGAGGCAGTCAGGGAGGTACCCACACGCCTGACAGAATAAGATGGCGGCGATGGTGCCTGGAGGTAGTGGCAGTGGTGGCGGTGGCGTGAATCCATTCCTCAGTGATTCGGACGAAGACGACGACGAGGTAGCGACGACCGAGGAGCGGCGGGCAGGACTTCGGCTGGGTTCGCGGGGCGACCTAGATCCTGGCTCTGCAGACTCTCTATCGCCCCAGGATCCCGTGCCCTTAGGGAGCAGTGCACGGTCAGGACTCCCTGGGGAGACGGCGGTGGCGGCTGCGGTGGCCTTGGGGGGCAGTGGGGAGACCCCGGCCCGCTTGTCAATTGATGCAATCGCAGCTCAGCTGCTGCGCGATCAATACTTGCTGACCGCCCTGGAGCTGCACACCGAACTGTTAGAGAGTGGCCGCGAGCTGCCTCGGCTGCGCGACTACTTCTCCAATCCCGGCAACTTCGAGAGGCAGAGTGGGACCCCGCCGGGGATGGGGGCACCGGGGATCCCCGGAGCCGTCGGCGTTGGAGGTGCAGGAGGTCGGGAGCCGAGCATGACGTCGGGCGGGGGACAGCTCAGTAAGTGAACGCGGCCTGCCTCTCCGGCAGGGTTGTTAGGGTTGTGGGGGAGGGCTTTTCTGGGCGGCTGCTGAGTATTAGGAACGTCTTAGAGAGACAGTTGCACCGGGTGGGGGTCCTTGGCGGTGCAAGCCGAAGGATCCGGCAGTGACTGCTCTCTCCGCCTGCCTCCATCCCTTGGCTGAACTCGCACTGGCTCCTGGCTGCCGTGTTGGAGTCGGTATCTATAAAAATACCCAGCGTTTCTAGTTCACTGGCCTCCAGACGGCTCCCTCGCAGACTGGCTAATCGCTTTAATCGTTTTTCCTTTTTCTCCAATTTCCTGAATCGCCACTACCAGGAAAGAGTGTTTCTTAAATTGTTCGCAGTAATTCAGCCAAAGAATTGGAAATGTTGTTCTGTCCTCGAAGTCAGAATCACTAAAAACCCTTTGTCTTTGGGATGGCTTTCTCACTCAAAAAGGCGGGGGGTGGCGGGAGGGCCAACTGCATAAAATGTGTTCTGTTGAAATATAGTCAGCTCAATTTCGATGCCTTCATTTCAGTAGTTTCCAAAATTACAGGAAATCGAAGGAGCGGAGTAGGCAAGTTCTGCCTGCCATCTTTCTGGTGGTCCCACCACACCGCAGCCTTTTCATTCCGCTTGAGTGAGGAATTTAGTTTTCGACCTTGTTAAAATCATTTTTAGCAGCACAGAGTAATCGTTTACCCCATTGTTTATAAGCGCTTCTTAGGGCTTGAAAAGTACTCTCAAGGGTATGTGTATTGGATTCCCAGTGTCTCCTTTTGGGAGGCACCTTAGATTTTCCCTTACGATTGGAAAGAGATATTTCAGTGTGTTACCTGAGAACAACTGGAGTTTACTAACAAATGTTAAACATGCAGTTTTAAAATTGTAGCCTCACTGATTACTTTTTGACTCCATACTTTTGGGTGGTCCCAGAGACTTACATGGCCAAACCTAGGGTGAAGTGGAAAGGGCAAAGGGTGCACTTTCTGTCAAGGTAAATGCTAAGCTGCTGTCCCTCTTGGATGTGGAATTTTCTCGGTTGGTGTAACTTCCTTACTCAATGTGTAGAATGATCTTCCTCTCCAGAGATTTCTCGTGCCTGGCCTTTAAGACTATAAAAGTGTAACAAGGCCGCATAACAAAATTGTTCTGTAGTTGGGGGGGTTTGTCTGTTTGAAGGTTTTTAAGTTACCTAATACTGGTTTGCACCTGACAAGTTCTACTGCGCCCTCCAGACCCACCCAGTTCCAACAACATCTTCGTGAGTGCTTCTCAGATTCCCCACGCGCACCTAGTTGCCGCCTTCTGTCAGACCTCAGCCACAGCTGTTAACACTTTTGTATCTGATTTGCCAGCCATAGCATTTTTCTTATTAGTCACTTCTTCAGGGACATTTTTGTATCCTTACATTTTGTGCAGCCCCTGCGCCTGTTGGACATGACTGAATTACATCAGCTGTGTTTTCTCTTTATTAATATACTGAAATGCCTTATTCTTACTTTATAACTTTAATTTAAAGGAATTTTTCAATCTTTTCAGCCTACCTTATTATGGCTTGATATCACTGTTTATAGTGAAAATTTCTCTTAGAAACTTTTTGTATAGCAATAGTTGTTCATAATTTAGACTAAATATTTTAGAAATGTCTTAGGGTGCGACTTTCTTCTAATTGCCTTTGCATTATATATTTTTATAGTGTTTTGAAATAACTGAAGTCCTGTGGTTTTAAAAAAAATCACAATTTAAGTACAACCAAGTATTCATGTGTACTTCTGCTTTTCTGTTATCCTCATTTATTTGCACCTGTTGTAGGTACTGGAGACACACACATCATACACACACACACACATCATACACACACACACATCACACACATACACACACTCAAGAATGTTTAACAGTATCCCTGGCTTCTCTATCCACTCGATGCTGGTAGTATCCACCACCAACCTCTGCCCTGCAAGCTGTAACAACTAAATGTTGTCCCTAACACTGTCCAGGGAAGGGGAGGCAGAATTTCCTGACTGAGAACCATTTCTATACATAAGTTTTGCCTGTTCTGAAATTGCATATAAGTGGAATCGTGGAATATATATTCTTTTCTGTCTGGCTTCTTTTGCTCAACGTGTTTTTTAAATTTATCCATTTTTCCCCCATGTATATTAGTAGTTTGTTCCTCCTGTGGTTTGTCCATTCCTCTGTTAGACATGTGTGTGTGTGTGTGTGTGTTTTAAGTTTTGGGTTGTATGAATAAAGTTGTCATGAAAGTGCTTGTACAAATCTTGCATGGACATACGTGTTTTGGGGGGCAGGTATAATACCTACGAATAGACTTGTTGGGTTATATAGTTGGTATGTAGTTAAGTTTATAAAAAACTGTCAAACTGTTTTCCAAAGTGGTTGTAGCATTTAAAATTCCCATCACCGATGTATGAAAGTTCAATTTATATACTACATCCCCAAACACTTGGTATTTTCAGGCTTTTAACTTATTCTAGTGTATTTTCAGGCTTTTAACTTATTCTAGTGAGAGTGTGGTGGTATCGCATTGTGGTTTTACTTTTTATTTTTCTGAGCACTGGAGATACTGAGCTCCTCTGAGCTTTATGCTGTTAGTATTTCTGCTTTTGTGAAATGTCTGTTCATGTCTTTTCCCTGACTTTTTAAAGTGTGGGGGTTTTTTTGTTTTTTTTTTTTTAATTTTTTTTGTCTCACTGTTGAGTTGTAGTTATTTATATATTCTGGCCTGAAGTCCTTCATCAATATGTGTTTTGAAAATATTCTTTCTCAGTATGGTTGGCCTTTTCAGTTTTTAAAAGTGTGTCTGTCTTAACAAAGGTTTTTAATTTCACCACGTTGAATTAATTTTTTCTTTAACGATTCCTGCTCTTCATGTCCTAATGTGGTAATTTTCCTTGTGAGCCTACAGTCTTTTTGAGTAACCTTCCTCTTTCACATTTTCTGTTGCGTGGTCCCACCTACCTTTTCTCGGAGTACACATCTCTCCCAGCCCGGTGTTCCTTTTTCACTGCCATCAGCACTAAGCATATCGTAATTACAGTCTTCCCAAGTGCCCGTCTCTTCCGCTTTACAATGTAGTTCCTACCTGTTAGATTGGAGTTGGGTGTAGTGCTTCCTCCGGTTTCTGAGAGAGAAGATGTCGACAATATTTCTGAAAGTTACGAAATTCACTGCTCTTAGCTGAATGAGACTTGCTACTATTGTCTGGGCTATATACTTGTACATTCTTAAATATATCTGTTCTATATTGTCATTTTTCTTGCCTGTGCCTTTCTGGTACTTTCAAAATTATTATTAATCGTTGTGGAAATTTATTCATCTATTTTCACTGCTTAACACGGTGACCTAAACATAGTGTTCAGTCTTTTACATTGATCAATATATTTCTTAAATTGTGTGATCAATTAAGATTGATTATAGAGATCCAGAAGATTTTTTAAATTGATTTTTGAGAGAAGGAGGAAGATGGAGAGAGAGAAAAAGATCAGTTTGTTCTTCCACTTATTTATACATTTGTTGGTTGATTCTTGTATGTGCCCTGACCAGGGATTGAACCTGCAATCTTGGTGTATCAGGATGACACTCTAACTGAGCTACCTGGCCAGGACCAGGATCCAGAATATGTTTAATGCATGTTCTTGATGGAGAGGCCAAACTAACACATGAAAGAACCATAGAATAGTCTTCTGTAGCGCAGATAATAACATAAACACTCAAATACAGAAAAGTCACTATCTGTTAAGCCAATGAAATGGCCCTCGTGGAGAAAGTAAGGCTTAAATTTGATCATCAAGGATGACTGAAATTTTGACTAAATAGTAACTTTATTTTTTGGCTAAATTTAGACTCTTTATTCTGAGCAAGGAAAGGAAAAGGAAGTGAGGTTAAAGAAGAGATATTATTTATGTTATATTCTGCCTGGTTTAAAACATCTTCTGGACACATGCTTACCACTATC